ATTAATTGTAGACCTTTTTTTCGAGAATTTTCGGAACACTGTTAATAGAACTGCAGATAAATTGCAAATACATAATTAATAAAATATCCAGAAAGAATCATTTACTTTACCTCCAATCTGATCAAGTCTGGTAATGATATGAGTTTTGATACTTTTACAATGATATCCCGTCCTAAAAGAAAATCATGAAAGCATCTGCCAAGGAAAGAAAAGCAAAGGCTATTGGTTACATACATGTAACACCTGCAAGACCCTGTCTGAGGTCCCATTGAAGAGCAAGGTAACCATGAAAGCCACAGACTAGCACTGGCTCAAGACAAACTTAACTTAAACTACACTTACATGATAGATGAAGATGAAAATTGCAAATTTTAAAGTTCCCATATATATCCAGCCACTGAGTTTTAGCTAACTCTCAAACACCCACCAGTGATACTTCATTGCTAACAAGATATTACATGTACCTACAATAAAAAAAAAAAATAGTTGAACAGTTTACCTAACTCCCAGGCAGGGCAGCGAGGGGTAGGTGGTACACAGATGATCAACAATGTATAGTGATGAAGCTGTTAACCCTGGAAACAAATACAGAAATGTGATATTATCAGTAGCAAAAAAAGCAATCCAGCATAAACTGCTAAATTATTAACTACTTTTTGTAAGACCAAAATGGATGTCATAGACCTCTTATAATGTCATGCATATAATTATTTTGTAATTGGATATTTATGATCTCTGAGTCAAACCTTAACTCAATTAATCAAGCTGTAACTTTTGAGTCATTAGGTTTCTTTTCAAATGCAAAATTGATATGGCACCGTTTTATTATACTATACAAGAAGACCTGTCTGCGAATAGTAAAAATTTTCAAATATGAATTCACAGCTATTGAACAATACTTTCAGTTCATCAACAAGCTGAGACTGTTTGTTGCATGTACAATGCTGTGCAATGTGGTTTTAACTTTTTAGTCTGCAGATGTCACTTCTGGTATGTGACCATTTACAAGAGAGCTATCAAGAAATAAGTTCATTGGTAGCAGCCTGACTCCTTTTTAATCAATATTTTCAAAAATTAAAAAATGGGATTATTTTCCTAATTTGATCTAGGGTGCTCTTGCCATAGGAGAACAAGTCTTGAGTTAAATGAGAGTCCACTTTTGCAGTTAAGGGTTACTAACCTATCAACGATAATTTTCCATTGTCCTCACTCGTGTGAAAAGATGTTTCTTTATTTCTGAATGTTTTACCATTGGTAGCATCACCATCATAAACAGTATTTTCTTCTTTGTAGGATGCATGGGTTAAAGCAGTCCGTAGAATGCTTTCATCTTGAAAAGTTAAACCTAGTCTGTTCTTGAATGCAAACAACTCACTGTCATAGTTTTGTCTGAAAAATTCTTTTCTGTCAAAAACTCTGCAAAAAAAAATTATGCATGTCACACATACATTAAATACGTTAAAGAGACTACTGAAAACAGTACAGGTACTCAAGAGTTTTGATCATTAAAACATGAATACTGAACATTATTGCATGTATGAGAAAACTGGAGAGTCAATTAAAAAAAAACTGGAAATTTATTTTAATTCATACAATTATACCTGGACTGAGTGAAAAAATTTTTTGTGACCTTTGAATCAAGTCCACTGCAGCTAATTATGAACTCTAGTCCATAATCAAGTCTGTATGTTTTATTGTACTGAGGTCTGAGATTAGCACACAATGTATGTGACTCATGCCAATATCGTGAGTAAATAATCACTTGCAAAATTATTGTACTCACAGTGGCTGAACACCTTCTCGTTTTTTAAGTCTTTCCTGAAGGTTTCTTTCTCGCCTTCTTTTGTCTCTGTTGCTTCCTCTGTAATATCTCACACCTGTGGCAAAATTACAAATTAAAGTCTTCACAAGATACCGAATGAAATGATAAGAATAACTCCACACACTATAATGTACTTGTTTAGCAATAACTGTATAATTTTACCGGGCATGCAGCTGTGAATCTGAAAGAGACATGTGAATTTTCATTGTGCCAATATGGTGTTCAACAGTGAATGTGCAGATCAAGAAAATATCCATACCCACTCCAAGAAAGGATAAGGGAAATTCTAAAATTTTTTAAACAATTAAAGGAAAGTATGAAACTAAACTGGAATTTCCATGGGGGTGGGAGGAGGGGCAGGTGAAACTAAAAAAACATCTATTTCCTTGGGAGGGGTATGGATTTTTCTCTCAAACAACAAAATTTACATGACCAACAGTATGTCCTTGAGACCTCTGAAACTGTTGTTTCCCCGCAGTGGTATTTTGTGACCCCTCCTTCTTCCTCCTCTTTGACAAGTAGGTAAGTACATTGATAGTCAAGAATTCTTAGGATTTTGTCAGAATGGTGAAGCCCAGCAGTTGCCACTCACAAAGTTGGTAGTTGATTTAATCTTTAGCCACTATGTTAACCTGTCATGCACCTTACTCAAGCTCATCTTCATTTGATGAGTTTACTATGTTAACAGAGGGCACAGAATTAACACCGGCTTGGTGAGAAACCAGTTTTAGCAAAAGAGAGGGGGCAATATTTCACAGCTTTCAAAGAAACCCAATAATGTGTTGCACAAAATCAATCAGGGAGTGAGTGGAGAAGCTGGGAAACAATTGCAGAGTACACTGTACTAAAGATATAGGCTTATAGTTTGATTTGCAAAATTAAATGATTTTTTTCTTGGAATACTCTCGGGAGAATTTGTCAACATGCAAAACTAGTAAGCGAGTTGTGTTATGCAACGAGCTAAAAAAATCACTTGATAAATTTCTAGATTAAAGCCATGAGAACACATTTGTTGATACCTGATACAACAGCAACACTCTTTGTGACGTTGCTTTGGGGGAAAACTTTCCAGTTAGAGCAGCATTGTCTTATTAAAGAGGTACACGCTCTAAGCTCTTTCATAGCAGAGGACGCCATATTCGATTTTTTTCCTGGGCACTTGGTGTAACAATCATGTATTGGCTGTTTTAGATGCAACACCGCTGATCACGGTTTGTTTTTTTAAAGATATTTTATTCAAGCTTACATGAAGTGGTATTACTCCAGTTACTTGTTCCAGTCCTCTCTCTCTATCGGCTAGTTGGGCGCCATCTTTGCTCTTTTCCATGTCTTTTGGTTGAGTTTCGTGGTATTTTTGTCAGTGATGTGGTTGACAAGAATATTGTGTAAACGACACACACCTGGAAGGATATGGGGAGGGTAAGAAACTTGAAAGTTATGTATGTTTTGACCCTAAAAGCGAGAGAGATTTCTATTTTGTACCACGTGAAGGACAAGATTTGGAAGGTATAGTGCAGCGAAGAAGTACCGAGATCCAGGGATGAGATGTGAATACATGTACCTATATAACATAATATTAAAATAGATTAAGCAGTTTTATAATTTGAGCAGGGATAATCTTCACTATTTTGTTGTGTGTAGTTTACCACATTTAAACCTACCTGTAGTAATATGTTATAGCTCCAGTAAGTCTTCTGTAGTTCAGAGATGTGTCTGACATGTAAGCTTAATGAGCGGTGTACGAAGGTCATAGGTTTACCTCTTGATTGGAGCACTCTGTGCCAATCTTTTTTACAGTTTTCCAGAAGCGGTTTGGATTGGCAATGTTCTCTTCAAGTAATTGTTGATGGTAGCGCCCTTTTTTTGTTCACAGCATTACGAATCCGCCGCTTCGAACACCGATAAAGTTCGTTTTTTGTTTGACAAGCTTTCTTCCAAAAATTTTCTCTCTGGTGCATCATGGATTTGATTGTACTCGATATCCGTGGGCAGATTTGACCTTGCACCTTTTTGGCTACAAAAGGAGCATGTTTATTGCAGAGCGTGGTAAATACGTTTTTCCAAGCAAGCCAGGCCTCATTAACATCTTGAAGTGATTAAACTTCATCCCATGGGGCAGTTGCTGTTCCTAATTTAATGCAGGCAAGTGTGACAAGTATCCTACAAAAGAAATAGAAGTTGCTTGTTTATTGCCAGATACAATAGGACGTTCTGGGGTTGTCAGTGGAACAAGAGATTTCTAATGAATGTTAAGGAGAGAGACAAACCAAATTCCTATAGGGTCATCCCATGGGTCTGAAAAGACACATTTGCCTAATTAACATTTACTGAAATTGATAGGAAGTACAGGCTTGTACAGAAAATGACTGCCACTAGAAGAAGAACTGAAGTAAAAAATGAAAGAAGAGTAGAGAGAAATGAAGAGCTACTTGCTACTCCTTATTTAACACAGGTAAGTGTAACAAGTATACTACCAAAGAAATAGAAGTCAAGAGGATATTCTGGGGTTGCCAATGGAGCAAAAGATTTCTAATGAAAGTTAAGGCAAGAGACAAACCAAATTCCTATAGTTAAGAAGTCTGGAAGAAGCAGGTTTGATTGGGTCGTAGCTATGACAATAATTTATTGAAATACAAGGTAGAGAATAAGAAAAAACAAATTATGAGGAAAGCTAGTGGCACGGAACAGCCAAAAAGAAAAGGCCAGTACTGACAATGGGTGAGCAAAGTGTCTACTTGCCTATAAAACAGTTGTCTCTTATCACTCCCAACAGTTTGGACATTTGCAAGAGAAGCTAAAGAGAAGTTTCTCTCGTTGAATGCTCTAAGCAACCAGGAGAAGCAGATGTATTCACTGGCCAGTTTCCAACTGACAAATGGGTGAACACTTGAAATTTTAATAGGGGTGGAGAAATTAAAATATAATGCCCCCTGCAAAAATCCCTCTTTCTCACTCACAGGCCATCTCCTCACAAGTGTTCAGTTATTTTATATATTTTTTCATGTTTCCAAAAAGTTATTTCAACCTGAAATTGAAATGGATTACTTTGTCCACAATAGTTCTTTTTTGTGCCTGTAGTCTTTATAAGTATTTATTATGTCTAACTAAATTTTTGGCTTCATATACTTTTATCTTTGGAAAAAACTGGAAGATTCCATGTTCCTTGACTTAAGATTTTCTTGATTTAAGTTTCCTTCTACACGGGGATATAAGGTCAAGTACATTTGAATAATTCTTTTCCTTGTGTACATCCGGGTCATCAATCTTCATTAGTTTGCTAACTGTGTCATTAACCTTATATCCAATATCTGGGCATGCTATTTCATTTTTTCTTTGCAGGCTCAAGAATTTGAACATGCTTGGGAAAGGAAGCAGCAAGAGGAGAAGATGTTTCGTGATTCTTTGCGAGCTCACAAAGCTAGAAAAATGGCCGATGTGTATGCCTTTGGACCGAAGCCGGACAAAGCTAAAGCTGAAAACATTTTGGAACATTTAAATGTCTCAAGAATTCAACACGAATAAATCAGTTTATAGTGATATGATCGGCGACTGAAAAACATTCTGGTTTTGAGTTTATGTCCAGTGTATATATATATCTTTTTTTGCGTGGGATGGCAAAATAATGACTGAGAGCATGACGTATTTTTTTTTCCTTTCTTCGTGTGCGACAAAAATTTCGTGGTTTGCGCCTGCCTTTCCTACGTTAGAAGTGAGTAGTTTCCAGTTTGTTGGAACGCTAGAATTCTTTTCGTCATTTAAGAGGATTTTTGTAGAGTTAGTTAATAATTCAAAGAAAAAGAAACAAAGTCAATGCCATGCTGTCGTTCCCCTTTGAATGCGATGCCTTATTTCTCCACCTGTGGCGATGGCTCAAGAACGATGAGCTCTGAGCTGAATGAAGAGCAGCGAAGCAAGGTTGTCTCATTCCTGTTCTTCTCATTCTCTCGCCTCTATCATGTTTTGCAAGAAAACGGCCTACTTTGTGACTTAGCTTTCAACACTGATGTACATCTCTGCAGTAAATTAATAATATGTAATTACCTGGTTTTTCTTAAGATTTTAATTGTGGTATTGAAAAATAAATAGAAAGCCAAGTTCGCAATACTGCCTCATACCTTGATTCAATCTTTTTTCCACGGACTGCGGGCAAGAGATACCCTGCAATTAAGACCACCCTCATCCCAGTTTATAAACTCGTTACGCTCACTGACTTGTTCATCATCGTACCACCGGGTTAATGTGAGGTAGGATTGTCTAATACTTCTAACTGGAGAATTCAAAGGCATTAGTGTCTTGCTCAACACGTCAGGGGATCGCACCAGGGCCGCTCCATGCAGAATCCAAGGACGTGTTAACCGAAAAAACATCGCGTCTTCTACGATAACTGGAGTCCTTTTTAAATCCTTACTTTCCGTACAAATTTACAAAGTTGATTTTAAGCTAACACACTGACTCGACTACCACGTTAATGTGATCAACGATCAGTGTTCTAATTGGCCGTTTTCACACTAGAGACGGATAATCCGTCTACGACGGGTTATCCGTCCATTACGGATAATTCGTCTTAGTGTGAAAACGGAACGGTGCTCATTTTAGACGAATAATCCGTCTATTCTTATCCGTCCGATTATCCGTCGATATAGACGGATAATCGGACGGATATAAATAGACGGATAATCCGTCTCTAGTGTGAAAACGGCCAATAAGAGGGTTCCACTGTTATTCCATCCTCACTTTACAAAGACGTTTTATGGAAAGACAGGCAACTCATAGTTATATACATGTTATGTGCAAACATGTTTTTATTCAGTAGGTCAATTATTTAATTTACTACAAACATTATAAAACTATTTTACGTGTAAAAACGCATCCGTTTCTGCTACGACATAAAACCTATATAATATAATGTTCCATCAGTTATAAATGTACAATAATTGCACTTTTTACCATACACTTCTACGTTGTAAATGGTCTTTGTTTTATATACTGTTCTTGCTTTAAGCAGACTCATCTTGATAATAAGTATAACTTTATTTTATGTAGACTCTATCTGGAGATTTTTTGATACAAATTGTTTTTTTCTTAACCCTCAAAGTAGTTGCTTCACACTTAGAAACCATCAGAAACTATTTCAATTTTCATGTGTCTAGTTTTGACTATTTAGTGCCAATTGTCAGATTTTTCAAGTGTTAAAAGTGGTTATGAAATACGTTAAGAAATGAAAAAATCCAAAAACCTAAATTAAAACATGACGGGTATCATTTTAAACACGATAGAAACATACAGGGGTGTTTTCTTTATTGCCAAAGTGTTCTCAAATAACCGGGGTGTTTTATGAAATCAAAGGAGATCAAGTTACACCAGAGAAGGCTTTAGTTTCCTTATATTATGATATAAATGGAGTGGGCTTTTTTGCAACGCCCTCGGCCTGTTACATTATTTCTAGCTTCCCGTTAAAAATTTTGAATATCGCAATGTCCGGTTAAAAAATATCCCAGCAGAATGTTCCTGTTCCCCTACATCATATTCATAGTAGAGTTGTTCCTACTGAGCACGCAAAACAAAATCAAACTGTCTGTTTTTCATACTATGGAGAAACATGTTTTTAGTTCCTGAAAGCGTGCTTAGTGGCCAGTCTAAATAAATCTCTCTAAATACAAGCTATTGCCTATAAATAATCAACTGATCCGCTCTTCATAGAGACGTTGATACAACTGTGGATTTTCCGTAAACCATCATCAATGGAGGAAGATTGTCTGTAGAAATAGAAAGTTAAATTAGTCGGACAGCCACTAGTCATAATTAGTACAATTCTACTAGTATAACTAATGCGGCAAATGCTGCAATTTGCATGATTGGCTGAGCCACTCGTACACTATCAGCCATTATAGTTCACCACTAAATTTTCTCCGATTCTTATTGGTTGGAATTGATCACGTGACGCGAAAGTGTTCATCCGCGGAGAGACACTATCAGCCCATAGTGCCCGTCCGCGGAAAATACCCGGATGGATAGTACTCGTCCATGAAAATATTTCTGTAAACAAGCGGGCTTATAGAAAGTAGGCAATTGAAATTGTATTCAAAGAGTTTTTGTTTGTTTGTTTGTTTTTTTCAAATTTTCAATTTGGCTTTCACGGCTTTCATCTAAAAAAGTTGAAAAATTCAATATGATTTTTGAACTGGCGCGCGGAAGAAAATTTTGCGGTGAACAATAAAGAAAATAGAGTGTTTATGTCTCGGAACTATCGGTCTGATAGTTGCCCCTTGGAAATTTGATGTTCTTAAAACTAGGATATTTGCCCTCGACGCTTCGCCTCTCGGGCAAATATTTGCTTTAAGAACATCAAACTTCCTCGGGGCAGCTATCAGCCGATAGTTCCACGACAGAAACACACTATTGTTCAATTAGTATAAATCTACTAGCGTTCTATCACGAAGGCCGTTCTCTGAATGGCTACGCTACTCACTTTCTATTGTTGTAAATAGTGAGTAGCGTAGCAGCGTACGCTGGGGGTCGCTTCTTTGTGTTTTCGAAGTGTCTTTGAAGAGGATTTAGATAAAGTTTTGAATTAGTAGTAGATTTATACTAAAACAATGAGATTATTCGCTCTCCATTACTATGCGTGATAGTTGACTCGGGCTGCGCCCTCGTCAACTATCACGCGATAGAAATCTCGAGCTCATAATCTAATTGTTAATTAGAGTGCGGTGGCTGTCGATCGTCTACGAAATGGCAAGTTTTTAATGAACATTTAGATGCAAATGGCCAATTAAATTTCTGAGAAGACTAAAGGAAGGACATTAACGGTATTGTTGACTTTAAAAACGTGAAATCATTGCCAAAATAGGTTCGCGCGCGTAAACAATTGCAAATTTCCAAAGAAAATTCAGTCTGTGCGATTTGTTAAAGTGTAGTGTTTAATGTACGTGGAAAAATAATTGGAAGCCATTATTTCCGTTAATTTCAGTCGGCCGAATCAACTATCATCTCATAGAAATCTCGAGCTCATAATCTAATTGTTAAATATGAATTGCACGCACCAAACGTTACTTAGTTCCTAGGCCTGTATATTTCGCCGTCTCGGATACATCACCAAAATTAATTGAACTAGGCAAAAAGATCATAACGTGGACTCACAAGTACGCAGTGCGGACTGATTTTACAGTAAGTTACGAAATGCCGGTCTTGGGGGCGAAGCTACTGTAGGTAATCGCAGAAGTGTTGATAAACTTCATCTACTTCAAACTTCCCTTTTGCTTTGGTTTGGCAAAGAACTTGGAAAAACCAGGATACAGAAAGATGGTAAAGAATTGCACTGTTATACAAACAAGTAAACTAAGTACAATCAACTCCCCCTTGGCCTTGAGGACACCCTGCATCTACCTACGGACATTCCGCTATTACGGACAGAAGCTACATCAATGGCCGATAAGCTGTTATTACCTGAAAGAACAGTGATATCTTGGATAAATTGCTGAGCCATGTTTTCTTCGTGTGGAGGATGGGGAAGGCCGGTAAATACTACAACTAAAAAGAAAAAATAAAATCAAGTCATCACCGTGATCTACCGACACCACCCTGCAAGCAGAGCCTTTTCTTACGGTACATATGCTTAGTACCGAGAAAAGAAAAAAAAAAGATAAAAGAGGCTCTGCTTGCAGGGTGTACCGACACCTTCACAACAACAATTTTTTTCTTGAAAAACTCACTACTATACGCCCAAAATTGAAAAGTACTAGAGACGGAAAGTAACACGCCATATGCATACATGCCATTACTATCAAACGTACTCAAAACAGTTAATAGGTACTGAAAAGTTTTGTAAGTGACTATATGAAATATCATATCTTGATGATACATTTTTTATTACACTGTAACATCGATGTCTTCATACTGAAAGTTTTGTTTTGAGTCTGCGGTCAAATATTCCTTTGTTTTAAAAGGCGAAAGGTTCAATACAAAGTAGAAATGACCCTTTCGCTTCGTTTGTAAGTCAAACCGCTGATAACTACGATAACAACTATTTATTTGCTGCGTTCAGTTTTTTGGTTCAAGGCACGTGAGCACTGAATGATGCACACATGTTTCTCTACTAGCACTGAAGATTAACACGTGACGGTGTTCCAGTAGAAGCCTACCACATGACCACTTTTAATCAATGACGCACAAGGAAATTCTAGCACTAAAATAATACACCTTACTCACATGCTTCTGCAGAGTGAGTTCTAATCAGCTGATTCACTGTTCGATACCAGTCAGTAGCCGGCTGTGTAAGAGAAAATAACAAGGAAACTTTTAGTACAAAATTGAACAACACACATATCCTTTAAGGCGTTATACCAAGCCACATCGCAGGCCAGTGATTTGAGAGTTCACCAAGCTAATCTTTAATATTAACTTTAACTTTTATTTATTTGGCAGTCGGCATATAAGGCATTTCACAGCACTGGGACTGGTTTGATTTCTGTCACCAACGACATCACGCCATCACTGGACAGCGGTGAGAACGTTTTTTTTCTTTTTTGCCGTTAGACTTGTGGGCAGCATTCAACAATCTGAATCATAGTCTGCTATTGCCACGACTGGAGAAAGCTTTTGGTATTACTGGAACTATCCTTCGATGGTTTCATCTATCTTGCTTATAGATCTATATAAGCAGTTTACGAGCCAGTGAAAAAGAGAGAGACAATACTGCTTGGCATAATGAATAATGTGACATAGTTTGATTTTTGAACTATGCAGACTGTAAGCTGGAAGACTCACTTAAAGAATTTACTGATATGAGTTACAATTTATTAAAACAAAAATCAAAATAGACAACTCCAACTGTGACACTGTACCACATAATACTTGTGCATGCTTACTTGTGCTAGCACATAATACTTGTGTAAGTCTTTTACTACACTGGGTGACCGAACTTTTAATATGGCTGCCCCCAAATAATGAAGTAATCTTCCCCTTTTGTTTTAGAAATATTTTTTCTGTAAATAGGTTAAAGAAGTGTCTTAAAATACAACTGTTTCAGAAGAGGTTTTTAAATAATATTCAGGGTTTATAAGTAGTTATATTTTCTTAAACATTGTAATCCGCAGCTGAAAATGTTATATTGATATCTGCACAATATAAATATATCAATCAATCAATCAATCAATCAATCAATTATTATTATTACTATTATTATTATTATTATTATTATTATTATTATTATTATTATTATTATTATTAGTGTTATTAGTATTATGTGCTAACCCCCAAGCTTACCGCCAGTCCATCGGCGTTCCTTGTCAGAGACAGGCCTTCACGTGTCATGTGAATCATCTAAAATTAATACATTTTCAAAAAAATTACCCATTGGACCTTTTCATGATGAACAAAAGTAATTTCATATCAAAGAAAATCTTTAACAATAGCATAGTAAGGCAGAAACATACGACGATAAAGTAAAAGGAAACTAAACAAATTAAAGATCATTAAGACTCGGAAAGATGGGATCACGAAAAAAGCTTTTGATAAGCTAGGAACTCGAATTTCAAATGCGATGTGCTCCTTTAACCCTTTTTTTTAAATAACACTGATGATGTTTGCGTGGTAGAGCGGTTTTCATTCGAGTGTCGAGAAAACTAATTGGTTTTACATCCACTACGCTACACGATTGGCTAAAAAAATCTCGCGCCACTTTTTCATCCAATCGGAAGTCAAACCAAAACCAATCGTGACTCGTTCGCACTCGTTCGCACGCTCTTCGCGTCAGCTACATGTAAACACTTCGAGTTTTGATTGGTTCACTGTATTGTCTGCGCCCTTTGTGATTGACTGGAGTGATTACTTTGGTTTTGGTTTTACGACGCTCAATTGAGAACCGTGACCGCTCTAAGGATGGACAGTAAAAGTAAAAGAGTTTTGTACCCTGACTTCAGCAGGAATGCGAAGTTCTTTGAGTAGACGTGTGAGGGTTTCATGTTGCGTATTATGGTGATCCTCACCTGCAGTAAACAAGATCAAACAATCTGGCGATTATTTCTTCATCATGTCATGCAAAAAGCAAGTACAAAGCGACAGAAGCGACGTCACAAGCTATTTACAGTTGCTTTATTCAGAGCCACGGAGCTAAGTTAAAAATTTTGCTATATCAGAATCTACCCATTAGCTTTCGAAAATGAAACAGTGAAAATGTTGTCTGTAATTCACAGATATGGCATCTAACGGCCCTATTCTCCCGGAGGAGAGCTAGGCACCAAGAAGAAGAAGATGGCATCAGAAAGCAAACCGTTCTAGTTTCCAGGACTTTGTAATTCATACCATCAGTCTCGACTATCTGCATGACTCGAAGCTTGGATCTAGTTTCCCAGAATGGCACCATGTGTAGAACACAACTCAACTGAAGAATGAGCAAGAACGTGTAGTCATAAGGACCCAGAACCAATCCTGTAAGAAAAAAACAATACAATTACTGAGTTGTATGTCTACACATTAAAGCAACGTGCATGACTGTTTTACTTAGGTAATGCAATGTCATAATGAACGAGTGTTATTAGTTTCGAATATAAAATGCTGTTGAGCGGTAGTTTTCATAAGAAATGAAAAGTACACAAAAATGGGGAAGGTCATAGAACTCAGTGGGATTTGAACAAAAAACCTCCAGAATTGAGCTTCTATGGCTCAATCAATCTGACTAGAAAGATTGAACTCTTTAGTCCTTCAGCCTTGTAAAACATGGCTCTATGCAGAACTAGCCTGTGTCACAGCCACCCCTCCCCCAAAGAAAAAAAATCTATATGCACAACTGTCTTTCACCTTCACCCACTACAGTGGTATTCATCGGCCAAACATCTGAAAATAGAAGCACACAAAAAAGCACATTAAAACGGGATACTACCCTTTTTGCGACAAGAACAAAAATAAGAAGTACTTCAAAAAAGCAAAAAGAAATTTACCGATATATCCTTCTTTGTTAAGTGTGTTTTTGTCCAACTGTGCGAAGCTGTAGAATCAAACATGACAATACCAGTCTGCTATTTGCAATTTCAATATTTGAATACATTTTACTTTTACGCAAAAAAAAAAAAAACATTTTCTGCATGATAACAACAAGATCAAACTTCCAATTTCATCTGCAACGACATCTCCGAAACTCGAAAATGAATCCTCTTGATTTTTAATTTAACTTTAAAAAGCTACTAACAGCGGCACAAGTGTGAATTCTTCATGTTTTCTTAAACAGCCATTCGGATACATTTGACAAATACTTCCCCGCGCCCCCAAACCAATGTTGCGGTTCATTTGCTTCTACTCCGTCTTCGCAGCTGTACAACGATTTAGAAAGCCTGGGCGGGGGTGACTCTAACGAATTAAGCAATCATCTCTAGATGTATTTAACAAGTAGTAGCCAGGGAAAATGATGTCAAATTAGAAGTCTGATCTTGTTGTGATCTTGCAGAAATTTTCTTGGACGTGTCTTTGTGCCCTTGTCGTCGACTGTTGGTTATAAAATGGACATACTCAGAAACAATGTGACCTACTTTCTGGCTATGCAGACATTCTTCCCCAATAAAACAGCATCCTGTGGATATGAGAAGACGAAAAAATAATGGCGTCAGTTTTTCTCACTCCAGGTTTTCCTTAAATGTATGAGTAAAGAAAGTTCGTTGTTTGTTGTTTGCATAAAGGCATCTTAGTGCTATGAAATCAAAGAGACTTCTTATCGTTTGTCCAGCATATGTTGCGTTCGTTTCATGAAAAGTCACAAACGTAAGTCACATCAAAAGCAAGTGTATGTCCAGGTCCATTTATTACTTTCAACAGCGAGAATTTTTATAGACATGATGATCGATGCGAATGCAGCCATAACACTACTGGAAAAAAAAGACCTGGAAAAAATTTCAGGCGTTGAACGGGATTCGAACCCACGACCTTTGCGTTACCGGTGCAATGCTCTCCCAACTGAGCTATCAAAGCCACATGAGAGCGGTCGTGTGTGGGTTGGCCCTTCATGTTCAGTGGACGTAACACTCGGCTCAAGTATATGAATTCCATGGTAATAGATGTCCAATTGCACATATATCACCAGAGAATTTTGATATTTTGTCCCCTGAGGTTTACTGCTGTGTGAGCCATGATGAAGCACGATATAATCTCCTCCAACATGTTAAGAGCTACCTGACACACGGCAGAGCAGAACCTTACCTTGATAATTCCTACATAATCCTTTAAAGTCATTGTCTGATGTCCAGGCTGAGGAAGAGAGGTTTAATGAGAAAAGAAACTCGTACACAGAAAAGCTTGAAGGCGTTTGCATCTCCGCAGCGCTAATGAAATTCGAGGGTAAAGAAGCTACATGCTAACAAATCTGGTACCTCAGGCCCTACCTTGACTAGCAAGTCCCCAACGACATTATTTTGTATGGCATATTATGTTTCGCTTGGCGTCCAATATTAGTTGAGGGTTATCCCTCCGCTAAGCTTCCAAGAAAAATTATGTTATTATACACCAAATTAGAATTAGAACGTTCATTGGCTGAATTTATATACTAGGGAGAAATTACCTTTCGGAGATGAATTAGGCATCTGACACGGATAAATGGTTATATAAGGTATAAATCCAGTGTTTAGATGAATTACGTAGTCAAATTCGTCTTTGGCTGATTTGTCTTCAAGACTTGCCGACTTGAAGACGAATTTTGCCATAATTCGTCTAAAAACTTAATTTATATCTCGACGATTTATTCGTCTCAGACGGATAAATCGCCTCGGCAGATGGATAAATCGTCTCTCGCAATAAATTCGGCATCGGATAATTCGTCTCTGGTATAAATTCGGGCATTAAAAAGAACAAAAACAGTTCTTTGAGCAGCCAATTATTGTGCATGTCTTACATGTGTCCTGAGTGGTGGAAGCTGTAACTGCACACTCCGGTAGATTTCATCTATAATGCAAACAGCAAAAAATATAAGTCTAGAATCTAAATTCCTCTATCTCAAAATAATTATGGAAAACGTGACAGACGTCGCGCGCAATAAGTTAGTCAACAAAGTACACGACAGCCCAATTATTTCCTACCTTTCCTCTGTCCTCTCATCCACGGAAATCTATGTTTTCGATATATTCCACGAGAAAAACACTCAACAGGCAGCTCGTGATCAAAAAACCCTGTGCGCAGAAAAAGAAGAAAAATTACCTTCATTGATAGATGATTCAACTTAACAACTGACTCAGAAGGTTGAAGTACCAACTTTTCGTGTTTGTGTTATTTCTGTCTCATTCAAAGGGTATCAATAATCTATGGCAATTAATCACCAGTTATGAATAATAATTGTCAATAATTCAGAAAGCTAACAAGGTGAGAGCAAACGTGTTTTCCCAAACCTGGTTTTCTCAAAACCGATCAAACACAATGCTCGTCCTTGTATCTGATAACTTTCTCATCTCTTGTCACCTGCTAGCTTGACCGTGATATGGCAATGATATTGTTTATTAAGAGACGGTCAGTTGAAACAATTCCTAATGCCAAGGGTAAATGCAATCTACGGTTCAAAAATAGCTTCAAAAGTGATTTGGAAGAACGAGGAGCTAGATTGCGCAAGCAATTAGACAAAAAAACTCAAATCAACGTAGAACGAGATCGAAACTGGGTCGTTTTCCTCTACATTGTATAAAGAGTATTTTATATTATTCAACTTCCCAAATTATATTATGAACTATTATATTTTATATTTTATATCTTCAATTTTCAATTTTATATATTACTTTGCACTTTCCCGCCTACGCTATTTTCTTCTATTCACAATTCGCCCTTATGCTGCCTCCGTTTTGAGAGTATAATAAATGGTTTCGCCACACGATCGTTCAGAACATCAATTTTACCTAAAACAAGAGTGTTTGGTTTCATTCCTCCAAGTCCAGAGGCCTACAAACAAACAGGAAAGTGGTTAAGGTTGAAGCAGAAATATTTTATGGAGATTCTTGATATCGTAAAAGTAATATCAGAGTTGTTGACTCTTCTTGACAGATCAAAAATTATTCAATTGTCACGTGAACGTGGCCCAGTAACAATATCTCACATTGCCTAGCAACTTCGTATGAAACAATTTCTCGAATCTAACTCCAGCCCACAAAGGCAAATACCTCCACCCTTTGCATGTGAAACTAAGTTTGCAAAGTCGCTGAGACTTTCTTTTTCGTTTTAAAGATTTTTACATTATCACTTAATCAATATTAACTACTTATAACAATAAATGATTGGGGTAAAATATATATATAATTTAATCCAAGAAGTGAAAATACCCTCCTCGACTTGTAACTTGGTTCAGTATCTGGAGGTTTTTATCTGTAATTTAATATCGAAGAACATCAAATTTCCTACCATCAGTAAGTTCTGAGCGCCGGCTCGTATAGCACTTGAAACAGTCAGCTCCACAAACGCTTTTATCTCCGTGCAGTCAACAAAATTCAACCAATTTGTTACGTTACGCCTTTGCCTCCTCGCAGACTGTAAATACCATTAATCCATCAATAAGTCAATCAGTCAAGCAAGCAAGCAAGGATGCAATGGATGAATGAACGAACGAACGAGCGAACGAATGAACGAATGAATCAGTNATAACAATTTGTATAACTTTTTTGCACCAATTTGTCCAGAACAAAAAGGAAATGTTAAAAATGTTCAGTGAACCTACATAGCGAAACATTTTATATTTAAGATGCAAATAAGTACAAGGAATCTTTTGGTTACCCCTGTGATGTGACTCAAAACGTACTTTTAATTACGAAACACCTCGAAGGCACCAAGGAACCGCTTGAATACAAAGGATTGGAAGGCAAAATCGTTTGGTTATCTCTGGAACATAACTCAAAGCGTATTGCAAACCCTAAAGTCAGTATAGAACCACTTCGACAACTTTGGCTCATTTCAGAACTCCATGAAAACATGGCAAAATGCACGTTCTCTACTTGTATGACTGTCAATACAGAACATGAGCTTGGGCATATAGAACAGAGAGTGGGGACAACGGTTATAAGAAATCCACTGACCTGTTTGCCACGAGAAATACTGAAATGTTGGTCTATGAAAAATAAAGAAATAATTTTTAATAGAAAATACTCATAGACACACGTTCTCCAATCTCAGAAGAGCAAACGTATCGTATTTTATTTCGTTATGGTGCCCATAAAATTACTCCTTTCCTTTCCATAACAAACAAAGAAATAAAGAAGTGAAAAGTTCCCAGCCTTATATTCAGCGGAAATAACAACATCGCAGGCAACATAAATAATGCTAGTTATGCAAACATGATTATATTTGGCATCTAGGAGTTGCGAACCTGCACTGCAATAAAACATTAGATGTAGTTACAGTAACAATTTACCTAAAGTTTGGTGCAGATGCGACTTTGAGTGCAAAACAGGCCATGTTGGTAACTCCATATGACAGCAGAAAGAACATACTGACCAGCACAGCTACTTTATTCAAGTTTCCAATTAAGAGGACAATCTATGTTACGAAAAAGGAAGAATGCGAGATGCTTGCATTAACACAAAATAATAGGAGTCAAAGAACTCAGGGACATAATCACTTTTAAAGATTAATTGTTCTTAAAATTAAGTGTACCAAAATCTCAGATCACTAGCACTCCTGAAAAAAGAAAAAAGCATTATATAGAAAATATTACGTTGGTAGAGGTATAACGGGGAATGTTCACCATAAGTGACCCTGATCAGCTCGTTAGGAACACTGAGGCTTAGAATGTATAAAAACAATTCGCCAGAAAAAAAACTCTCTCTTCTTGCTGTAAACATGCCAGTCTTTGTGGCAGGGATGGCTTTGTACAGTCACTAATATTCTGAAAAAAAGTTTTACCTGTACAAAGAACCATGAGATAAGGACAGCTCTCACAGGTTCTCCATTCCTCCGAGTGACTTTACTAAATGGACGCAGCAAGACACCTTTGGAGTGAAAAAAGTAATACAAAAATACCTCATGAATGAGGTTTAGTTTTTTTTTAGCTTTCTCTGCATTTGTTTAGTTGACGTGCAAGTACAGTTAATGTGCAAGATTTACCTAGAAGATCATCCTTAGCAAGAGCTTGTAAAATTCGTGAAGCACCTGACAAAAGAATGGTTAATGCAGTCATTCTCTTAAGTTAAGAGGCATAACATTAGTTCAAAAATTCATATGGAAATGCCAATAGTAGGTCAAATGTTTGCTTGGGAATAATAACATACCTATAAGACAGCTGAGAGCTGCTGAAAGAGTGGCAGCAAATGCCCCTACAGTAATTAACCAGGGTACTTTGTTTATCACCTACAATGTGCAGACAAGAAAGAGGGAAAGTTATAAACTGCACATAAGCTTCAATTTAACCACCCATCTAACAATATATAAGTCTGCGATTACATAGCTTAACTCGTTCTTTTAAGAGAAAACAAAACATCAACCACAATGATTAACATGACAATGGTGAATGGCTATCAAATGAACTACAAAATCGTCTTCAATGAGAAATGTAGATCTGATTCCGCTGAAGACCAATTTACCTGAATATAGTTGTAGTTGTTTTTAAGTAAAGGTCTTGTACAAGTAGCACTGGTAAAAATCACTGCAGAAAAATAAAACTTCTTAATATTGATTGAGTAATGTTTTTAAAAACGAGCAGCAGTGTTTTATCTGATTCAAAACAGAGGCGTAACTAAGTGTTTTAAACCCGATAAAACACATGCTGCGAGTTTTTTGAACAGATTCACACATTTGCGTTGGACCTACTCATTTGTAGAATCCTTGGGTTTATTATTACTTTTCTGGAGAAAATCGGCTGCAAAATTTAGCTGTGTCTTTATCAAATTTAAAGATGCTCATTAAACATTCATTNTCACTAACCAAGTTTGAGGTCCAAACTGTAACATACAGACACTTTTTTTTTTTTCACTTTGATTTACAGCCAAAACACAAAGTATATGGGAAAGGAAAAATAGAAGGGAAAAAAACCAAGGATATGTAGTGTATGTACACATTGAGAAGAGGTTAGTAAAATATTTATTTTTATTAACTCCGATATTCCCCAGTATGGTTCAAGCAAGCCAGGTTAAGGGCCCATTAACCGATTTATGCGCGCACTAGTGCGCGTTGCTAAGGAGGTGAAATTTCACTTCCGGTTACTACATCAGCCTGAACACAGAAAATAAAAATAACTCAATAACTTCCAAATTCGCTCACATTTTAGACGTTTTTCTTTGTGTTTCACAAAATGTAAAGTAAAAAAAGTACAAGCAAAGAAAAAAAAGAGAAAGACAGAAAAACAAGAGCAATAAAAAGAGAAAAACTAACTCGGTGTGGCTTTGTTTGATCTCACCGAAGTGAGCTGGAAGTGTAAATTGCGCACGCGCTGATAGGATATTGGGAGCACTTCTGGTTTCTTTAAATGCTAAAGGAAACGCGGTTTTTCCTTAAATCCAGCCTTTTTTTGACGGATTTCGATTAAAACCAATGTTGGAAACATAGCTATGCATTCCTTTTTCAAAATCATGCTTTTTTCAGAAAATTACGCACTTTTAATATTTTGAAATTCTCTCAAAATCTGACCTTTTAGAAATGAAACAAAATCGATGCATAGCGTAATGAGGATTTAAATTAAAATATTAAATCAATGAAAAAAATTCCGATAAAGTAATTTTCCTGGGAGCCTTTGCGTTTTTTCAGTATTAGTCACATGACCCTGGGCGTGGCCTGATGACGTCATCACTAGTGTTGCTGATCATGAAAAAGTTAAAACACATGAAATAACTCTGAAGTGACTAAAGATGACGAGGTTATATGAGAATAAATTTTCCCTAGCAACGGCTCGAAAAGATCGGTTCATGGGCCCTTAAATAAGTTAGTAAGTAGTTATAGTTACATGGCAGTCAAAAACAAAAAATTCACAGCTTAAACTGTTGCTATGGAAATGGTCTGTAAGGCAAAATTCTGTCCAAGAAAGAACCAATCAGAAAGCTTGGATTTAACTTGCCATATGATAAACAATCAAATTTCTCTATAACGTCTGAGCCTAAATCCATGTAGTGAATTTGTAAACACCATCCATACCCATGATTCCAGTGACACCATTAAACAGTACTCCAAACACTGTCAATGCATTTTCTTCATGACCTGTTGTATAGTCTTTACTAAAGTCACGCTGCAGAAATAACCATTAACCATTTAATTAGTGCGAGGAGTGGTGGTCTAATATGGGAAATCACAGTGTTGAACTATTAATCAAGTGGTCTTAAGGTTTGAGTCAAGGCTGGGGTCATGGTGCTGTGCTCTTCACTCATAGTCCCTCTCTCCACCAAGGTTTATAAATGAGCAGGCAGGACACATTATTAATAGTATCCTTATCAGGAGAGGGTGGAGTAAAAATACTCAGAGTCACTTCATTCTATTGAAACTGGAGAGAAAACACTGACTTGAAGGGCTACTGGGGTTTAATGCTGACTTTTGGTGCAAAAAACTTACCCACAGATTTCTGTTAAATGTTTTACGTTTCCAGCCTGTGTAATCGTACGAATCATTCTGCCAGTAAAAGAAAAAAAGCTGTCTTATAGGTATCAACATCAGACTGAATACATACTCTGTCGTATGTCTAATCACTCATCATTTCAGAGAAACTAATAAATTTGGACTGCCAGTAGATATTTTGCAGACAAGAACCCAAGCATGCATAAAATTATACTACCCTGCAAAAAAAAACTGGTTCATGAAATGCATAAAGCCACACTAAGGAATGTACTGTACCTTAGTATTTCCGGCTCCTGGTGATATGTGATCTTTATGATGCATGATCAGGAAACTGACCTAGCACAAATGTATAGAATGTTACAATGTAAGATCATAATCTTATGATAATTAAACCTCAGTGGGGAGTAACTCCTATAAAAAAAGGACAAAGGTGAAATTTTGAAAAGAACCCCTAAGAGTTACCAAGATCGTGTTTTGTGGGCATGACTTGACTTTTTCTCACCCCTAAGAACTAGTTCGACAACAAAACATTAACTGAAACTTTCATAATTTTTAGTAGCATTTAAGATGATTGCTTGACGGTACTCTCTACTTATAAAGCTGATCATCAAATATCTCCTGCCATATTTTTTTCAGCTCAATACCCTAAAGGGTGCTCCAAAACTCCTAATGTGGACCTTACACTGTACATGTACGAGGCTGAACACCCCAAGAGGTAACAAAACCACTTTTTTAACAATACCCCACCCTGGACACCAACAGGAACATGCATGCAAACACAGGCGGTGATGTGGTGACGGTCAGTCGAAAAAGAACTGAGGAAAAGAACGAGTCTCACCTGGGGTGAGGCTGCAAAGACCGCCCAGGACAGGGAACATTGGAGGGACCTTATGGGGACCTACAGGGAGGACTACTGTAGGTAAGTAAGTAAAAGGTACAATGAGCATCCATTCCCTATTCTTTTCATATGGGAGTTCCCTCTGGAATTAAACTAGTTAAATAAATGCAATATTAAGAATTATATGTCTTACAATATATCCCCTACTCTTGGGAAAGCAAGCTCAAAAGCAGTAAAACGTTATTGCAGGTAGTCTGTTGTCATTGTAAAATGGTTTTACTGTTGACTCAGGAACCCTCAAAAACTTAGTTTCTTGATTTCTTTGAGAGTTCCTGAGTCAACAGTGAAACCATTTTAAAATAGTTATCAGGAGTTTATTCCAAGTTTATCAGGATGTGGGAACAAATGGCCAGATATAAGAAAATAAAATGGTGTGCTTTCCAATCAGGTTTATTTAGTAACAGCTCTTATATGTACAAAGAGCAAAACTGGATCAAAATTTCCAACATAGCAAAAAGTAACACCTGTAGGGAACACTGTATGAAACTAAGCAACACAGGAGAGGACTACCGCAGTAGCCTAATAAGATAATGACTCCAATGAGTGACTAATCATTTCTGTTTATAGCACTATATACTCTATGTCTGCCAAGGATTCTGGAATTCTAGAGAGTTTTGGCTCTTAAAAAGTCTTATTTAGACTTTGACAAATTAATGAGGTTCAAGTCATCAAGGATAAATCTAATGTATAAAGAACAGCAAAAAAAAAAACAACAAAAAAAAACAATAAAAACTTTAAGTTGTGAGAGGTTTGAGATATTGAGGGACTCAGCATCAATATTTAAAATACTAATGTCAAAGGATTTGCAGGTTTTCTCATATCCACAAAGTCTTGGCTCTGGTCTCAGCCAATCAAAAATTCTTATTCACTGGCAAATGGGTAATTAAAAAACCCAAGAATTAGAACAAGCAGGATCTAAGCTTTACTACCCCTCATTCTTCTTGCAGCATTTCCACTCTTGTTCCTAGGCACTCCCAAGAGTGCTAATGTTAGCAGGCCCCTAACAAAATGTGTCTCCCTGAGAATCCAACTTATGATCCTGAATTGTTTTATGCCATCACTAGCTTACAGCGCATATCTCTTGAAGTGGCTCAACATTATTTGGATGGTAAAAATAGTTCTGTAGTACATTGTACTATATACTTACAAATGAAGATGCAACAGCAACCAGAACAGCTAGAAAAATTATAAAAGAGGTCTTTGCGAACATTCCTGAAACAGAAAAGAAAAAAAAGCTTTGAATTATTACACCATTACAACAGTGATGCATAGAACAAATTGTAAAATTAACAATAAAGTCCTATGAAATGTTATTTGTCCAGTGCTGATAATTATTATCAATACTGGTATGTTGTAGCTCTGTCTACTCATTTGTCTCTTCAAAACAAATCTTATTTTAAACTTGATGCCATCAAGTGTGATCAACTGGAGACTAGAGACTAAAGAGAACTAACATTTCATGCAATTTTTGCACTGATAAGCATTAGTCATACTCAAACTTTTTATGAAACTTAATCATCAAGTGAACATTACTGGGCGTGAAAAAATGTTTAAAACCTTATGAATCCTAAATTAATCAATCTAACATTTATTAAATAAATATTAAAGTAAACTAAATAAACTAAATGACGAGATTTGTGTAGTAAACTGTTTACAATACCTGCACCAATCAGGCACACTAGTAGACACAAAAACAGGACTAGTGAAGCATATCCAAATGAATACCACCTGCCTTCATACAAAACTACACAAGGAGTTAAACTTTCATTAGTCAAAGCAAGCACATGTCTGATTAATTATCAAATTATGCAGTTTGAGTTTAATAAACAGTCTAACTATTTATTATTATTACCAATTAATAGTTGACTCAAATGCAAATGAAACACCTTCCCAAGTGGTTATAAGTGCACTAGAATCTGCATGGAGCAGTATGAGCATTAGCATGAATGCTGGCCAGGATTGCAAGTTTCTATATATAAATATATTCATTTCTTTTAGGATTGCAGTGTTGCGTGTTTGTGAATTCCGTGACAAAAAAAAAATGAAATTCACAACTTGCTTACTTTGATCATCAAAATGTAAATTATTCTCTTTGCTCACGCCATCATTACATCATCAGCTCGTGCTACATGTGGTTCTGCGTTTTTTTCAAGTTATAGAAACACGATAAACCAACAAGCATGCAAATTTTCTTTGGACTATTTTCTAAATGTAATTATTGCCACAGGTAGAGTTGAACTACGATTACATCATGGTATCACTTACAACTTAATGCGTGGGATGAAGAATGACGGCCAAAGTTATTCAACAAGGCTTCGACAAAACCTACAAAGACACACAATAAATGACTGTGCATGACTTGAACCCTACATGTATCTCAGACAGCCTGAGATACATGGGAGGAAGAAAGAAATGTCATCTCTAGTACACTTGAAGGTGATCCAGTTGACTGAGGAAGGATTAAAGAATTGTTGTAATGTTGATGGCCATTCCTGCCAGTGCTCACTCCCTGACAAAAGGAAATTTTGTCATGGCAAATTGACAGGAGTTACACCATCTTGCATTGTGATTGCAAAACTCGAGGGAAGTTCACTTTAAAAAAAAACTTTCAAGCACTTTTTTGGTGTACTCTTAATGGCAGTTTGATCCCTTGAAGAAACAAACCAAATGGAACACCCGAGTATCCTACATGTAGTTTTTAGCTTAATATAACAAGCTGCTCTCAGTGTGAGCTTGTTCATCCTGTGAGAAGCCTCATTATCTGCTGCATTTAAGTACTAATTACAAGTGTTTACTAACCTAGGAGATAGAGAGCAGATGCAAAGATGTTTGCGAAGTAAAAAATAACTCCAATAGAACCACCAAACTCTGGACCTAATGTTCTACTGATCATATCTGTTGCCAGTTAACATAAAATACGCTACCAGTATGTCATACACTTGATGCATTGCAAATGTGCATTTCCAGAAAATATCCATACTTCTCTGGTCCCTATGGACGGAATTATGGTAGGATTTCCTTGGGGTGAGGTCAGGGGGTTGTCAAGACCAAAAAAATTGAAAGAAATGTATCAAGATTACATGAAATTTCCTGAGGGGTGGGATGTGGGTCTAAGAAAAAAAATCCCTTCTATGGGGGAGTTATGGATGTTTTCTGTAACTATACAATATATGTAGAATAGGTTGTCAATAATTATGTTGTTTCAACTGCTTCATACACGCCTTAATCAGGTGATTCATGATCAGGAGATCAATTGCTTATGAACACAATGACTGGAGGCATGGCAGTTGATATACGTGTACAACTTGTATCACACTCAACAACTCAATGAACATACTTTATCATGAATGTGACAAACAAATAAATGTTCATCCATCTAGCTACCTTGATACTGTACTTAAGATACAAGTTTAGTAATGATGAACAAATCTTAAAACACAGGTTCACATGCACTCTCTGGTCTCCTACTGTATCTATAACAGAACAAACCCATTAGACACTGTCTGTATAACACACCTGTCCAGATGAGTACACAATTGTTCAAAAAATTTGACATTAAGAAGGATACAGTAGGCTCCACCCTCTTTGACTGCACCATTGGTTGCAATAGCTGAGATGGATAGCACTGTTATTCCTACCACAAAGTATGCCACCACAAACATGCCAATTGATATAACTAAACCAGCCTGAAGAATAAATCCTTCAATTGAAAATTAATCAATAATAAGCATTTTAACCCTCCTCCCCTCTTCCTCCCACCTCACCCCTGCAAAAAAAAACAAAAAACAAAAAACACTCAGATGTACTCTTTACTAGACATTTTTTTTAGTACCTAGAAGGGAAGGTTTCTCAGGAACCAATGAGTACTTAAGCTGATTAGTTGTCAATTTCAATATTCCTGGATGGAAGCAATTTCGACTGTTGAAGATTGTTGGAAGATTTGGCTCTATATCAGCCAGCAAAGAAAGTGGCATCTGAGAGCCTGTGGTCATTATGTATATTTTCCAGTTGGGCTAGTTGATTCTGTTTGTCTCTTGCACAGTGAGCAAGTGAAGTTTCTTGAGAAAATATCTGAGGAAATTAAAATTACAAATGTACTGTAGGAAATAATTAAATTTCTGTTAACTCATGAGAATGTCTTTTCAGTTTTGGGCTAGCACAAGTCATCTTATTTCCACTTGCCCAAAAGGGTAAGCCCAAAAATTTGTTGCATCCTGTATTTTTACGTCTTTATTTAGTGCATATCCATTGATCTCCTAGCTCAGTTAACTCATATGATGTACATACCTGGCCAACAATAAATCCAAGGCGTAAAAACAGAATAACTGAGAACATGGACAAAGTGACCGGCACCACAACACCAAAAAATGTTGACAACTTTTTTCTATTGTCTGGTTCTAAAAATAAAGGAATAAAACATAGAGTCATGAACTTGTAACTGAATAATTGAAAAGAGTTATAATTACTATAAATTCAGCTCACTTACAATACATACAATGTATGATTGCAGGTCACCCACATGCATCAATGGTTTGAAAGGATTACATAAAGGCTGCTTATCGACCAGCTTTTTGGCTTTTTATTGGCCAGCACTTTCTTGAAGGAATACAAAATGTATTTTATACAGGAGTACTAACATTTTATCAAAGGAAGGTCATCAAGAATTATTAGTTAGCCAAAGGTAAACTAGCTGCTGCATGGTGTTCCTTTAAGGGCCCAGTATGGGGCAAACTGACCTGCTGTGAGGATGATTTAGCCCGCCTGGTTTGACAATCGAGGGAAATTTTCTTATAAAGAAGTTCAGATCAAAAAGTTTTACCTNTATGGTATCTAAGGCATGTGAAACTCCTTCTACAGGTAATCATCATAGTTGATGGCTGTTGTGGTATATGAGAACAGGGGTTATATATTTTTATCAGAAAAAAGGTCAGAAGAAATATTACAGTGGGAACTGAACCATACCATGCATAGCCCCTTTAAGCAGAATTATACCTCAAATCCCGTTAATTTATGGCTCAATGTCCAGCATCCCATTAATTCCAATTGCAAAAATTTAACGATTTTCTTACTCTACTTCCCATTCTATCTGACCTAAATGCCCCATATCCCATTTATTTTCGTCCCCAAATATCCTGTAGTCCATTAATCTTTTTAGCCTAAATTTATACCCCATATCCCAAAATCCCCTAACATAGGGCCTCAGCTATATATGTAACCATTTGCATGAGTGTGAGAGAGGAAATTCTTCCTTGGTTCCCCAGGACTTGTAGGCATGACTAAGTGTAACATGAGAGGTTTCCACCCTCAGTTGTGAGGGCGAGAGTTGGCAGGTATCCTAAGCTTGGATGAGTGCATAGGCCAATGGGACCCAACCTTTCAGCCTTTACTCTTTAACTTTAACTTTACTCTTTAGTGAGACAACTATTAGTTTAACTATTTAGTCGCGCTATTACTGTACCCAAATGAATATTCTCGGGAAAGAGTAAGCCTAAGCTCAGTTGAGCTTTCGAACAGGAAAACGGAAATAAGCTGTGTAAATTGGTCACGAGAAGACAGAACATAATAATACAATGAAACAATACAAAATACGAAGTACCTTCCGCGACCGACGTAACGTTCTCAGCTTCTTCTGAAACACTCGCCCAGTTAGACGCAGAAGGTAATAAAGAATACCTTCCCATTGCTGGTCTAAACGGGCTACCAGGCAAAGAGACATCCATTTTGTTGCTAACCCTCGGTTTGACTGAGCACAAGTTACTCGGGAAACTGGATCGAGCCACTACTCGGGTAGTTCCCAGGTTTTCGCTGGTTTTAAGATGGCGCCAGGTCGAAGGTAAACATGGTTGTGTTATTCTTTGTTCCAATTCACAATTTTATGCTTCCCAAAAGGTAATAGCCAGTGTGTGATAAATTATTCGCTGGTAGAATTTTTCAACGTTATTTTCTAGTTTGTTTCTTTCATTTCTTTGCTATAGTCATTTCGAGACTGCACAGTTAAAAATACTAGGCCTAGGCTTCAAGTATTTTGAGCACTGCCAGCAGTGGAGTGTTATTATTTACGGATTTAAAACGTTCACAGCGTATTTTATTGTATTTTATTGTACAGTACATAACTGAGGAAAAAAATTAGCGCTCTAGCTACTCATCCACAGGGGAGGGTTGCAGGGAGGGTCCCTGGGAGGGGAGGGGGGTGGAGACATGTCTAAGATGCTTCTAAGCATCATTTCAGCAGTAAATGTAGTGTAGTTTTATTAGATAGCTCTTCCATCTCCTTGGGTTCTACTTGAAAAATATCTTCTTTCCATTGAATTGATACTAATCAGTCACTAATGATTTTTTAGTGATAGGTAAGTTGGAGGGTTTTATATTTTTTTGTTAGAACAGGGCCCAATCATCCGGGACAAGTAGATATCCCTGCCAGGCAAGTGACTTTTTATTCTCACTCGCCTGATGGGCAAGGGATCAGGTAAGTCCTCTACCAATGAGATAAAAAAAGAGCAACCTGAGACTTGCTCAGAGGAAGCACAATTTGAGAGCTAATTGTCCAAAGAGCAAGCTGGAAGTCAAGTTGTTTTTAGCCCTGTAGATGGCAGGAAGGAGAGAAGGGACTTCTTATGACTCATTGCAAATGTTTGTTTTAGAGGTCTATGACTCACACTTGGTACCTAATTATTCAGGAGAGGGCTGGAGAACTACTTACACTAGCAGCCCATTTTTCTCTTTCTCCTTCTTCTCTCTTCCTCTCCCCTCACTTCTCACTACCCCTCTGACCATACCACCCACCCACCTTGACTTTGCAAAGTTATAAAAAAATTACACTTTTACACACTTTTACTATTCTGCAGAAATCACCTTAATGAAACAATGTAATGGCAGCAACCAATTTGAAGTATGATTTCTCAACTAAGAAATTTAAGGTGTCATCACCTTCGCTGTCTTCACCTGGTTCATCCTCGACACTATGCTAGCCTTCAATCAATCAAACCTAAGGCTGTGGCATTTGACATGGGTGGAGTGGTGCTCCCTTCTCCATTGCCCTTGATTGATCAGTTTGAAGATAGTCATGGCCTACAAAGAGGTTCTATTGCCTCAGCTATCAATGCTGGTGGCGAGAGAGGTAATTAAATGGACTTATATCATTAACAGTAAGTACATTGTAAAGGTAGGTATAGTCTACATACGGGGCAAATGGCCCATCAGGCTGGAGCTTATCTCAGTTTCTGTAGCATGAAGTGACTAGGAGTATTTTTACTCCTCCCTGGATGGGAGGCTAATCCATTGCACGGTTAGCCCCAACATTAAATTCACCAGTACCATTTGCATACCTGGGTGGAGAGAGGTACTGTGAGAGTAAAGTGTCTTGTCCAAGAACACTACATGTACACAATGTCTCCAGCCAGGGCTTGGATGGGCTCAAACCTGGGCTGTATGATCCAGATCGAGTTAATGCACTGACCATCTCCGCATTGTTATTAAAAGTGTTAATGTTTAATTAACCTGTGCTCACTCACTAACTCATTTAAACTCTTTCATGCTAATTTACATGCATTGTCATGACTTCTGCCTCCTTCCTCCTTTTAATATCAAACTACATAAATGTGTGCAAGGGAGGTTGTCTCCAACAGTCCAGGGCTAGTTGATTTTGTAGTCAGGCTAGTCTTACCTGACAGGCAATTAAAATTTTTTCTGGAAGATGTTTGAGTAAATTAAAATAATTTGTATAAAAATTACTTATAGAGGTATAATTATTGCATTCATTTAATTTCAAGTTAATTAATCATGCTTATTACCAAGCAAAACGTTTTCTTTTGGGAGGGGGATGGAAGGGGGAGAGGGACTCCTCCCATGGGTGGACACCTTCAGGAAGTGAACACGTAGTCACATAATACAAACCTCATACAAATGCGGCATCTTTAACCTTCCATATATATAAGTAATTACTTTCCATTAAAGGACACTTTCCCAGTCCCACCTCTGGTTCAACTGTACTTACAGGTGTCTGGGCACAGTTAGAATGTGGAACTCTCCTACCAGGAGAATTTGCTCAGAAATTTGGAGACGTTGTACAATCCATGACCCAGCAAAATGTAAACATGACGGAGCTGTTACCAAGCATTCAGACAGCAATGTTTGAGCCCTATCCTGAGGTCCTAACAGCAATTCAGTGCATCAGAGCAGAGGGCTTAAAAACTGCCTTAGTAACAAACAACTGGTTGATGAAAAATGGAAAGTCATTTTGCCCGGTAGATGTGGAACATTTTGATGTGGTGAGTTCTTTATTTTATGTTGTTTTTTTTTCTCTCACTAGCAAGCACTGTGAACCCGTTTTCTGTTTATTGTCTTCCTGCTGAAAAGAACAAGAGCAGCTGCTTTCCTGACAAGCCTATAATCACACAACTGTGTTTGTTTCATCTTTCTCCTCTTCTTCCTCCTCATCCTGCTCTTCCTCTGCCTTCTCCACCTCCTGACCAACTCTCCTTCTCTATCCTTGTTGTCCTTCTCCTCATCCTTACCCTTTTCCTTCTCCAGACTCTATCTTTCTCCTTCCCTCTTTTGCTCCTCTGACTCCCCCCCCTTCTTTCTCCAACACCTCCTCTCTTGTTGTCTTTCTCTTCGTCTGCCCTCGTGCTTTATAGCACATAAATTAAACAAAGTTGTTTTTGATCAAATCATGTCTGGTTTGAGTTGTCGAGATTGAGAGATCCCACTGACACTGATTCCATAATTTCACTACTCTGACACCAAACTCTCATCATCCAAACTCTCATGTGTTTTAGAATATATGCAAAAATTTGAGCCATGCTTAACCCATTGACTCCTGTGCTGCCCGTAACCGCCCGTGACAAACCTTGGCCTTTGTTCCACTACTGATGTCATCAGCTTTGACCAAAATTGGCATAATCAATACTCAACTTCTGCAGAAGGAAAAGATCTTTCCAATCATACCCAGATCAGAGTGTTAGGCTCAATAGAGCCGGAAATATGTACGAAAACGTTCAGAAATTTGAGCAAAAAACTCAGAGCAAAATTTCCTGTGACTACACGTGGCTACTCCAGGGTAAAAATTGCCTGTCTCAACGATGCTTTCTCAGACTATATTGAACTGGAAGCAAGCCCAGTAGAAGGTCAATGACTGCAGCAAAAAGATAAGAAAATGAGAAAAAGGAAAGGCGAAAAAAAAAAATTAAAAAAACGAAAAGCCTAAAGATGTCACTTTCTCAAAATTTTGATTTCTGTGCATACGCAAGCAAACATGTCATAAAACACGATGTTAGTGGAAAGAAAAGCATGCTGTCATGTTGCAAATGCCTTTTTGAGTCAATTGGAGCTAATTTGGCCCATATCCAGCCTGAAAATCTCCAAAATGTCCAAAAACTGTGTTTTTGGCAAAACGTTCTGGGAGTCAATGGGTTAATCTGATATGTTGCTTGTCTAGGTGTTAGAGTCTGCATTAGAGGGAACAAGGAAACCAGAAGAGCAATTTTATCTCAAGCTGCTTAACAGACTCAAGTTAAATCCAGAGGAGGTGGTGTTTTTAGATGATTTTGGCCAAAATTTGAAGACTGCACAGAAAATGGGCTTTCACACAATTAAGGTACATGTAGGTGTACAGAATAGAATGATAATACTTGGGTCTGGCTGGAATAAAGGTCATGAACAAATGGCAGTCACCTTTGAAACACCTGGCCAAGAGCTTACTTTTGTTGCTAAATATGATTTACAAAATGAAAATATTAATTGAATCATTTCATTATTTTTTGTATCTGATGTGAAGGTTGATGACATCAAAAGTGCTTTACATGAACTGGAGAATGTACTTAGTTTCCCACTAAAAGGTAGTGAAAGACCATAAATATTATATATTAAGAAATAAAATGTCTTTGAACTTGTCCAAAAGCTGAGAAAGACTAGAGAGGAGTAGGCTTTGATAATGCAATTAATTCTTTGAGTGATTATGAGATACGACATGACTCTTGTACATGTATAATGTGGTTGCTTAAATTTGCAGGATTTGTTCCCGGTACCACTGCAGTGCGTAAAGCTCATCAGATTCCTGTTGATTCCCTTGTTGGTTATCTGCAGAAGGAGCTTGGTTTGCACCAAGGAGGTAATGAAAAAAGTTTGTACATTTTATTGACTCTTTTGAACACTGTGGGATTCTGTCACTTTAAAATTGTTTCATTTGTTTGGTTATAAATTACTAGCCTAAAAAACATGCATTCATTACAGCATCACAAGAGAGTTCCACAGCTATACATATTTGTGTAAAATGCATTGAGTACTCCCCTGCTTGCATAAATTAAGCTGCACTGAAAATCTGGTCAAATAATGAAATTTCTTGATGTACCAATGAATGAATTTTTAATTGCCTTTTCAGATCCTCCCATAGTTCGTCAGTTCAAACATGGCCAATCCAATCCTACATACTATGTGGAATATGAAGGACAACGGCTGGTCATTAGGAAAAAGCCTGTGAGTAATTAGCCTGCATTAATTATTGAAAGCAGCAAACAGGAATTATTTGCTGAAGCTTGTGGTATGAAGATCTTTGTTACTGTGTTGAGTCCTTAAACACATCAAGTTGCTGTTAACTCAGCTAACAACTTCATACCACCCTTTTCAAGCTGTTTTTAGTGGGGAAGTTGATAATTGGCCTTCTTTGTCAATGCTATTAACTCTGCACAGCTTCAGAGAATTGCTGAACAGTGATGTGTACAGATCCAGGCAGATATTTCTAGTCCTATTAAAATCACCATGCCCACCTTTACACCCATCAGTATTTTGTTCTAATTCTCTTGGATTGCATGGCTTCCATAATCATTCTCAAGAATGTCAAATCAAGCCCTCCTTCAAAACATGAACAAACAGAAATTAGCAACTTTTAATTTTTCATGTATGCCAGTTTTCTCTTTTAACAAACACATGATGTCCTAAGGTAAACTAGATGTTCTTTGCCATTTCTCCCTCATTAAGCTCACAGCATGTATTTACCTTCATCACTGTTATATTTTTTAGCAAACTGTAATTCACATAATGTCATTGCATTTATTTGGCCCTGAGTCCTGAAGGTTGGAGTTCCCTTAGTGTAAAGTAATTTAACATTTGGTGGTCTGCTCCACTCCACAGCCTGGAAAGCTTTTACCTTCTGCACATGCTGTGGAAAGGGAGTACAAGTGGGTTCTGATCTCAATAATAATTTATCATTCAATATGCTCATGACCGTATCATTTATGTTTGTTGAGGTGGAAATAGCCAGAGGATACACTGAGCTGCATTAAGTACCAAGTCTACTTCCCTTTGTCAACACTATGTCATGACCTGGATTGAATCTCTGCTCAAGTTTTTATCTCAAGTCCAACCAATCATTTACATTGACAGTGGCTGACAAAAATAAAATATTACCTGTGTTCACTTTATATGGGTGTCAATGATATGAGCAAATCTGATCTGTTGTATTACCAGCAGAGAATTTATGTCTGGATTTCTGAACAGCCTTCTTTGCTTGTGTACTAGTCTTGTGATCTTAATGCATATTATATTTGACACTCTGTCACTTTTCAGGGTGATGAAAGCCCTTGGTTCTGCTGGAGTTCCTGTTCCAAAAACGTTAGCCTTATGTGAGGACAGTAGGTAAATTATCACAGTGCTTTGTCCTCGTTCACTGTTATTTTATCCATTTGTATCCTTTATTTCCTGATGTGAGATTACCCTCTCATTACCCTTCTCCATCCAACTCCACACCCAAGCAGATTAGTCAAGACGTTCCTGGACCTCAAACAGCCTGAGATCGTGTTGCATCTTTTGTTGAATTACTTTTAATTTTGCAGTCATAATTATAGTCTCATTGTTGAGGCATCAAAGACCATCACACTCAGCCTTAATTAGGTGAAACAGCTGGCCTATATCCCTTATTACCCATTACATGTAGTTCTTTTTAGTAAAGCCTTACAGTTTAGGTAGAGATGTAAAAGAAGATGAAAACCGATGCTTGCTTTCCTGGTAGTCCCGTTAAACTGATCATTTCAACAATTCTTGTTGCCTGTGTTCTTGACAGGTCTTGTTTAATAACATATGGAGATGTGTTTTTTATCATGTGTGGGGACTAAAATATTTTTTCTTGTACTGTTTTTAATTATAGCATTCTAGGTACTCCATTTTATGTTATGGAATATGCTCAAGGACGCTTATTCAAAGATCCATCGTTGCCCAGTATGACAGTGGAGGAAAGGAAAGTATGTAACTTTTTGAAAGCTTTCTGAGTTAAAGTTTATTTCTTTGTTTCTTGCAAAGAAACCTGGTTTAAATAACTAGCCTTTTGGCCTACATGTAGACATTATGTACCACATGAAAGTAGTAACTACTATAGGGGGGTTGGAATAAAGCGCATTTTTGTGGCCGAAAGTCATTAACGTGCAGAGGAGTACGTCATTCTAAGGTGATATTACACAATCCCACAAAAGCCTCCCTTATACGTTTGCGGTAACTCCCTCAAGCAAGCATGAGTAAATACAATGCAAAAATGCCTTATAAAATTTGCTAAAAAGCTAAGCTGCTCTCCAACCCCACGGAATCGTGGAGGATCACGTTACAAGCTGAAACTACAATACTTCCTTAACTGCCACAAAAAGTTTAGCTCAGTGTATATCTATATAAATTCATTCAGTAACTGGTCTCTGCAGGAAATTTATCATGCGATGAACGAGACACTTTTCAAAATTCACAACGTGGACATTGATGCTGTTGGTCTAGGGGACTTTGGCAAGCGAGGTAAGCTTAATACTCTTTGTGATACAGCTAGGGAAACAAGGTGCTGAAACACGTAAATCCTTATAGAAGGTCAGTCCTTGAACCAAATGGTAGCTTGCAAGAGCAGTAACGAGCAGACGAAAGAGAAAGTTGTTCAGTTCTGTCAGCTCCCTATCAGAAGTGTATGCTATACATTTGCCTTGTATCATAATTTCTAAGGAAAAACACAAGGTTGGGCTTAAACAACTATAGATTGTTTCCAACCGTAAAACGGAGGTGCTTGTTCCTCCAAGTGGGTTACATTTGGTTGTTCATGTAGGTTGAATGTTCTTTCACAAGATTGTGCTTTACGTTTAGGTAACTACATTCGTCGTCAAACAGAGAGGTGGGCCAAACAGTACGAAGCCAGCAAAACACATGAAATACCAGCTATGGACAAGCTTATAGCGTGGCTGTTAGAAAATGTTCCGGCAAATGATTCTACAACCGTTGTTCATGGAGATTTTAGGTCACTAGAGCGTGATAAAAATTTATCGTATTGTTGTTGTTACTGTCCATTGTTGGTTTCTTTGTTTGTTTGTTTGTCTTCATCTTAGCATGTACTTTTTCTCTCAGTTTCCGTTCTCTTTATAACTCTTCACAGTTACTTCAGGAAGTAGTTCACGTAAATATTCATGATGTTTTCTTGCATTGTTGCAGGTTAGACAATTTAATTTTTGACGAGAAAAAGCCAGAAGTAATAGCTGTTTTAGACTGGGAACTATCAACTCTGGGTGACCCGCTGTCAGACTTGGCATACAACTGTCTACCTCATCATCTCGCTCCAGATTTTCCAGTTCTAAAGGGTAAAAACTTCATACGCTTAACACATAGCACGGAACAGAAAGCGCGCAGTTCTCTAACCCTATCCCTAAAATTGTCTGTGAACAGAATGATGACGCCAAGTTACTCGAGCACTACCTTGATTAATGAGTGTTTATGTCTATGGGAGCATATTGGCTATAACGTAGTGGTGCAGTGTACAAAATGTTATGATACTGAGAAGTTTCTACGCAAAAAAGACAAGCCACCTCTGTTTAAAGTGGGACACATGAAGTTTTCACTGATAAACGAGATGCCTTCTGTCCTAGTAAATTGCGATTAAATAACATCTTTTTCTTTCCTTACTGGCCAGTGAGTTTTTGCTAATGACGTAATGTGAGACAAGTTTTGATCTTCCCATATAATTTCATTGATGACAGTATTTTCGTTTGCTGTTTTTTGTTACCAGGCTTTGCTGATCGTGATCCGAGTTCTCTCGGTATTCCGAGTGACGCGCAGTACATGCAGGAGTACTGTCAGCGAGCAGGGATCCCTCCTGTTGACAACTGGAACTTCTACATGGCATTTTCGTTTTTCCGTGTGGCTGCTATCCTTCAAGGTGTCTACAAAAGAGGCTTACAAGGTCTGTCAATCAGATTTCCAAATAAGGGCGTTAGTCCATGGCATGTGACCAGCCTCGATCTCGGGCGCTCTTGATTCATATCTTGTTTGTTCATGACGTCAAGGTCTCGGGTTTGATTCGCCACCAGGCTTAACGCGCTGCTCCAGTTGGAAAGAGGCGAGAACCCCATCTGACTAAATGTACAAGTTGTCTCAGATGCGACAAGTTTTCTTTTAATAGAGAAAAAAAGAAGGGCAAAAGCAAAATTCAAAACCGATATTGTGAGAAAGTCAAAGGTCGTAGTAGTTACGTAGGGTTTGGTCCATTTGTAGGACAAGCCAGCTCTGAAAATGCCAAAGCTGTCGGTATGCTGGCGGAGACGATGGCGAAGACCGGGTGGAGACTGGCTGGTAAGCAAGGCACTGGGTCCAACAGTGGTGCCAGTGGAGGTGGCCTGGGAGGAGCAAAGAGAATGTATTCCACTTCCTCTCATGTTGGTACATCAGGTAATGTGGTCTGGCGTCTGAACGGCTGGAAAGTACAGATGAAGTTTTCTTTTTATGTTTTTATTAAGAATCTCAAAGATGACATGTACGGTAATGTTCCAAAATTGAAGCGGTCGGCTTTATTTGTCAGTGACAGGGGTGATGTAGGAATTAACTACACCTATACTCCTAAATTCCTTGTATTGTTTTTTGCTCATTTTCTCAGTGATCTCCGGCGTAAAGGTGAACTATATTATAAGAGTATCACCTGATGAGCGTTGTGACTTTTGTCTCTGATGTTGGAATACATGACGTAATAGGTCGTGACATTTACATAGCACCTCGTCGAATTTCCATCCATTCCATACAGGTCTCCTGCCAATTGACCTCAAGGCTCTTCCATCTCACGTGCAAGAAATGTATAAACAATTATCAGACTTCATGGAGGAACACGTGTATCCCAACGAGGCTGAATTCAACAGGCACCAGGCCTCTGAACATTGCTGGACTCCGCATCCTTTGGTGGAAGAGATTAAGGTAGTCCTAATCATTGTAAATAACGTCCCCGTTCACCGTGAAGTTTTAAGCGTAAGTTCATTTGTCAATGACTTTCGATATTCATACTCACTCATGTACATTATGAGGGCTGAGTTAAATTGCGTTGACAAATAGCTAGTTATTTTTGAAATAAATTTTAATGGACTGTTGAAATACACCAAACATCATTTAAAGTACAGGAGAAGGCATTTACAAGACAGGCGCGGATCTAGAATAAACGGTGACCAATTTCCGAAACGAGCTAGTTAGATATGAAAGGAGATGGCCCGTTCTAGTTTGTCTATGGTATGCATTGTTCACAGTCCGAGCCTCAAAATTTTCATTTATAGGAAAAAGCTAGATCAGCAGGATTATGGAATCTGTTTATTCCAGTTGAAGCGGATCCTGAAGTCAAATATGGCGCTGGATTAACGAATGTGGAATACGCTTACCTGTGTGAGGTGATGGGAAGATCAGTATACGGACCTGAGGTGTGTGATAAGGCATAGTCATTGTTTTTATAAAAGTAACCAGGATAAAAGGAGTCTTCTGATTGGCCATTTAAACCTTACCTCATACACACACTCTGACAGTGTATTTCGGCAAGGATTGCAGGTTGAACATGACCACTGAAAATAGTGTCTCAAAATTACCTTTTTTTCCGCTTATTTCCTTGTTTATCTCTTTCCTTGACAGATGTTTAACTGTTCTGCCCCAGACACGGGCAACATGGAAGTTCTAATAAAATATGGCACTAGTCAACAACAGGTACGAAAACTAATTGCTAAGAATTGTCCTGAGCGCACAGTCGTGGCTGCCTTGATACAAAAATCTGAATATCTGACCGCTTTTAGCAAGTAATTTATCATGTTTGTTTACTTTGCGGTCTATTTAGTAGTATTCAAGAGAGTGTTGTCCAAAACACCGGGCAGCCGATTCCAATTCACAAGAAGTCTTGTTCTGAATCAGAATACGGATTTGAAGATCTCGCGTGAATGTGAGCGTGTGGCATGTGGCAGAACAAACCCGAACAAAGATGCCACAGATTGTCGAAAGGTCATTCACCAACAACAGTTCTGTTCAGAACTACCCCCTCCCGGACGATCACACGTACAAGACGAACTATTGATACTAATTCTACATAGGTACTGATCTAGGTACTGATCTATTTATTTACTGTCAAGGTTTCTAACCTGACATCAATAAAGAAGCACGAATATCAGTGACGAGGTTTAATGTTATTCATTGGCTTTCTTGATCATAGGAGAGATGGCTGCAGCCTCTTTTAGATGGAAAAATAAGATCGTGCTTTGCTATGACTGAGCCTAAGGTCAGGTGATTTTTTTTAGCGGGTTCAATTTAGCCAGCATGACAGGTCTCGAGTTATTATTAACCCTGTAAGCCCCAAGGGTGACCTGCATCAAATTTCTCGTAACAATATAAAAATCACGAGCTCGAGAAAAAGTGGGAAGACCGAAATCAATTCCTCCAAAATTTTATTATAAGACAAAGGAAAAAATGATGATTTGATGGTTCGATAAATACTGTATCCACTTTTCAGCAAACAACCTGTGTTTGTTAATCGAGGATATCTGTTCTAATGTTGATATGGAAGCCTTCAGATACTAGTGGTTCCTACACTTAGCTATGTATAATATTCTGTCAGAGCCATTGATAAAAACAGGCTCTCTTGTGGTGTACATCGCATATTTTAAGATTTACAGTAGCAGAACGTTAGAAATCGCACGAGGGCATTGCTTTCTTTCCGTTATGTAAAAGTGTATTGTTTCCCACTTTCTTTTTGTTTGTTTTTTTAATGCTGTCGTCGTTATGCTTGTGTGATTACCGTTGTCTTTATTGTAGGTAGCCTCATCAGATGCCACTAACATCGAGTCGTCAATTACACTTGGTGGAGATCATTATGTCATCAACGGACACAAATGGTGGACATCAGGTTATAAGTCATTTGGGAATTGTTCAATTATGGGCGCTATCCAACTTACAACGGGCAAATGATATCCTTGCATCCTTACGTAATAATATTACTTACAAGTCTAAAGTTGCGCCACAAGACGCAGGAGACGCCCAGAGTGAAGTCATAGATTATCAAACCTCTCTTGCTAAAAAAGGATTGCCATGATCTGGGTCTGCTGCGATTATCAGTGAAGATGTTTATGTCCAAGACGATTTGTTTTCCCTGGTATATATGCATTTGTAAAGACTGTGATAATTGGGTCTAGATTTACACTTCAAAGCAACCTTTTCAAGTAGTGTGGCATGAATATTTTTGTTTATTTGTCAAAATTGTTTACCAATTACAGGTGGAATGGATCCTCGATGCAAGATTTGTATTTTTATGGGGAAGACTGATCCCGATGCTCCTAAACACAAACAGCAGGTAATGGTCGACAAATGGTTAGCATGATCTTCTAGAGGGATGGTAGGTGATTTGCCGCAAGCCGTGAGTTTGAGATTTGCATTACATTCGAAAACATTGTAGTATAGCGTGAGAAGTAGAGCGGTTTTCAACTGAGTGTCATAAAATTAAAACCAAATCAATTACGTACCAATTACACTACTCGGCCAATCTCAAACCGTAGTAAAACCAAAACCAAAACCAAAGTAATTGCCTGATTACTTTCGACACTCAGTTGTAAACCGCTCTAACCCCCCAAATGTCTCTCACTGTCAGAAGTGTTTTTCAAGTTACTTATTCTTGGCTTATCCTATTACTTCGGACGAAAAACAGTGACTGTACGAATAATGTACGCGTGCATCAAATTGTTTGCTGTAGTAGTCCTTTTGTCGTAAGTGAATTATCTATGGTTTCCTTATTTCTTGTCATCACAGCTTTCTTTCCTATGAAGTGTAACTTCAAGTACTTTAATTACTCCCTTGTGTTTTTATCACATCGTAGGCTATGATCCTTGTTCCCATGGACACACCCGGAGTCACTGTTGTACGACCCTTGTCTGTTCTCGGCTACCAAGATCCACCATGTAAATACAGCTTTTTATAATTTCATTTGTTATCCACAATCAACGCTTCCGGTCTTTACGTCTGTGGTATTTTAGTCTGAGTTAGATTTTACAGAGTGGGCGACTGTAATTACCTGCCTAGAACCACATTTTAAAGTGTGGTAAACGTAATGTCTTGATAACTATATCACTTTAAACGAAGCGTGGACGTCCGGATGAGGGTAGTTCTGAAAAGAACTGCTGTTGGTGACTGATGTTTCGAAATCATCATCTTGAGTTAAGTGAATAGTGTTCGTCAGTCGATGTAGTTATAAATCTGATCTTTCCCGTTCGGATAGGTGGTCATGCTGAGGTCATGTTCCAAGATGTTCGAGTACCCAAGGAGAACATTTTGTTGGGTCCTGGGAGAGGATTCGAGATTGCCCAGGTTAGTAGCAGATGAACAGTTTCAACATAGCAAGGTCGGTAATTTTTGGCTGCTTTTCTTAGTGACGTGGTATAATCGAAGAAAGCTTGTTCTCGTTACATTTGCAGGGTCGCTTGGGTCCAGGTCGTATTCATCATTGCATGCGTCTGATAGGTCAGGCCGAGAGATCCCTGGAACTCATGATTGACAGGGTAAGTTATTGTATCCAGCCTCCACTCAAAATTGGAACTTAACCTCCACACTAACCTTACCTAACCTCCACACTAAATTGAAACTTTTTTATTGTAGCGTTACTCATAACCGCGTTTTCTTTTTCGTGACCAGGTCAGGAGCAGGGTGGCTTTTGGCAAACCACTGGTTGAACAAGGAACCATTTTACAAGACATAGCTGAGTCTAGAACAGAGATTGAACAAGCCAGGTGGGTCAGCTTCCGCTCTAAATCCAGTTTCTCCTTACATTGTCTGTACATTGTCAAGAAGCTGAGTAATGAGAACAAAGAAATAATCACCAACTAAAGGGTTAGCAGTAAAATTGTCAGAACTAGCTTTAAAAGTAATGAAAAGCAATCGATAAAGAGAAGAAGTGTTTTGATCTTGGGGCAACATTGCCAAGATGAACAATGATTGCAAAGAAATGTGCGCCGACTAAAAAGATGCCTACAGCCAATTATATTATGGAGATTAATCAGATCGTTGGTAAACCTTCTGTTTCGCTTAAGTCAGTTCATTTTAAAAAAGTTGCATTTAGAGGGCGAAAAAATGTCCACAGTGAGTCCCATTTTTTTTAGTGACTTGACATTTTCTTTTGCAGGCTTCTGACACTGAAGGCTGCCCATTTAATGGATACAGTGGGAAATAAGGTCAATATAACTCTGTTAACACATCTTTTCCAAGCTGAAATTTAATCACACTTTCTTCCTCATTTAGTTTTCTCTTCATGTCTTAGGTCGCTGCTCCAGAGATCGCCATGATTAAGATTGTTGCACCCCGGATGGCACAAAATGTCGTCGACAGAGCTATGCAGGTTTGTCGTGGACTCAGTTAGAAATGGTTAGGGCTTAACCCCTTTTTCACTTTTATTTTGAGAGGGTGGATGTGGACGATTTATGCTCAAATAACGTTCCGTGGTTGACCAGCACACTCTGTAAATTTTCCCTGTGTTTCCCCGCAAGGAGCAATTTCCCTTTGTATTTCTCATTTCCAGGCTTTTGGAGGAGCGGGTCTTTCTTCTGATCAGCCGCTGGCCCAGTTTTGGTCGTGGGCTCGCATTCTTCGTCTCGCAGACGGTCCTGACGAGGTGCATCTTGGGGCTGTGGCAAAGCGAGAAGTAAAAAAAGCTAACGCCAAGGAACAGTAAAATACAGTGTAACAGATGACAACAGTACATCAAGTCCTGTACTCTAGCTTCGTGTTCAACATTCTTTACAGGTGCTGATACAAAGACTGTAAGATGTGTTCCTTCTGCTAAATGTACAATGTCCATTCGCAGGCGACCAACGTTCACAGAAAACGATTTGAATAAAAAAAGCTTTTTTTCCGGACCAATTTTAGCATCCTATTAAAGACGAACTATATTTCTATTTCTCTTGTGCAGAAACCCGTTACGTAACTGATCTGGATTTCAGTCAGTTAAAGAGAAAGGAAAAAAAGAAATAACCAATAAAGGTCAGACTGGGTGGTCAAAGCGCGCAATGAAAACCTTAAAACTGTGCTTCCTAATAGGAGTACGTTCTTACTTTGTTTAGGTAATAATATATCTTCCGTAGGTATTCTATTGTTATGATAAGTTCAACTTAAAAAAGGGAAATGAATTTAGGAATTAAGTAGAAAATCTATATGGTACTTTTGCCACAGCTAGTTATGCAAACGGGTGTTTTTATAGGATTGGAAAAAATGGTTAAAATATAACGTGGAATTGATAACTAGGAAATGAAGAACGTGTGGGATTGATCGATCCTTTTTATATTGAGTTTTAGCAATGGGGGGCTTCATCCGGGAATCTGCGTAGACTTTTAATGAATTGATGGGTGAGGTCGGAATCACAAACTCTGTACCGGCGATAAAATATTTTGGTTATTTCTAGCGACTTTTGCTAGCAAGCTGTCAAAGTATGATGCAAACTTTGAATACGGAAAACTCTCTTTATTTAATTTCTGATTTGACTGTATAAACTGTACTTTTCGAATGAATTCGTCACGAACTTTACAATTGGTATATGCTTAGCAGATGGGCGGTAACCTAATAACAATCTTCTCTACTTTCTTAGTCACTTCTGTATCAACAGACGGGGGGACTACATCTACATTTTCCTTGGCAGCATGAATCGCTGCTACCAACGAACCTTCTTGATGCCCCCTTAAATTAATTTTTACTCCAGCTACAGGAGACGGTTGCCTTAGCAACACAGTGGGTTGCGTATAAAGGGATTTGAAAAACTCGGAGTTGCTCATAAAATACCTATCTCGCATTGGAACCCAATTGTCCTTGAAGCCTGAATAGGACGACGATGCTTTAGCATCGTTCAGTTTGAACACAGAACAAATTTTACCTTTAAGGTGTTCAGGGGTGATATCATATTTATCAACCTTTGGCAGGTGAAATACTGGACGTTCATCTTGTTTCCTGTGCTTTAAAGAAGCTATTGTAGACCTTATCATATTTTCAAGGCGATAGTTCTCAGATCTTAGATCGTTAAAACAGAACGGTTTCTTTCCCTTGTCAGAGGCCGGTTTATAATGAATTTGCTTCCTCTCGATGTTGTTTAATCCAACCTTTTCCTTTAGGCTGACTCGCTGACCCTCCAGTACAGTGGAAGACGAGAGTGAACTCATGTCTTCGTCAGTCTCCTTACAATCTTTCTTAGTTTCTTCTTGGCTCTGATCTAAAGATTCTTCTACGCTTTGAGAACCAGACGAAAACGATGAGTTCTTGCTTGAGTTTTTAACTTCTGGCTTCAGTCCTTGAACTTGGAGTGAAAAGTCATAGCATCGTATTCGTAAAAGAGCTTGTAGATCATTCTTCTCTTCGTGGTTTAGTCTCTTAGTTTTAGCAAGAGCTGGCAACTTAATTTTGCTTTTTTCTTTAACGTCCGTTGGCGTTGACACTTCATTAACTCGTTGACATAAATTCGCCGTAGATTCTTGCGCTAAGCCGGCGTCTTTTTCTGTTTCTCTTGGGCGAAACAGGTTTGTCCCAGTAACGGACATATTGCACTCACTGATAACTGATCGCGGCATTGCGAGCAAGTACTCCAGTCAGTTTGATTCTGCCGTTCTTTGAGAACTTTTCCAAAATTGTCGGAATTTGCACAAGAGACCGAATTTTCGATTAAGAAGAATTATCCGTCTGTCAGTTTTGTGTTCATGTCATCAAAACATAAATTTGGGTTTGTAGACGAGTAGTGCGGCGTAATCTGTATGTGTTCCAGATCAGCCGAGCTACTTTGATGAGTTGATTCGTCTGAGAACGCTTGTTGTCTAAATGTATCCAGACAGATGATTCATCTTAGACGTCTAAGATGCACATGTGCATTGTTTTAAAGCTTTATTCGCAAGATTGTTTCTTTGTTGCAAGCATTCAATGTTCATGAAAAAACAAAAGCCTGAATGAAATTTCGTCGCCACAGCAGTATCCAAAATTGTGGAAACCGTAAAGGGTTGGATGCGAGATCAACCCTTTTGGCGCCAAAAAAGGTACACGTGACACAAAGACAAAATGGCCTCGGCGGAGCAAAAAACAAAGCCGGTAGAGAAGTAAAATGCGCTCTTTAAAAAAATCCTTTTCCGGTCCCTTTTAAGGGCGAGTTTTCTTAGAATGAATTAATACTAAAATAACTTATCGTAGCCAGTCTGTCCGCTAGCGGAAGAATTAATATGCTTACCGTGTATTAAGCTTAAGTAGATGATCAAACATGACATAGTTACCCACCGATTTATGTCTGAGCAATCTATTGAAGAAAACATTTGAAAAACGAGAAAACGCTTGGATTTTTATTTGTCACTTAAAATTTAAGTCTAAAGATAAATCGATTGAATGAACTAGGTATGTTGTATATGGAAAATTGAAAACTATTCCGGGTTATTTTCGGCCATTGTCAAGAAGCAATTTTAGAAGTTTCTAGTTGCTCACTTTAGAACAGAAAGTATGTAAATGCAAAAAGAATAACTGCGCTTAAAAGTAGGAAACGAAAACAAAATACAAACGTTAAAATAAGAATCTCTTTGCTTACATGGAAAACATCAAAACATCAGCTTATAGATCGTGGCGGCTGTCGCAAATTCCAAACTATGTTTTGGACAAAACGAAGCTATATATGTATGTGAAAATTTACCCCATGTTAAAATACAGGACGGGATAATCTTCCACTGAGGAAGATAAATGTCACCAGTCCTGGTTGTTTCATGGAAACCCGCTAATCTAGGATTAGGAGTGCTTATCAAAGATAACGTCGAGTCAAACCACAAACACGCACGTGATCAGTATGGAAATGGCACAATGAAAATGCGTCGATCCTGGATTTACATACATCAGCTAAATCTTGCCTCGCACAGCTAGACCCAAAGAATAGACCGTGTAGCCGAAGCTTAGAACTTCCATTTTGGCGTAAAGTAATGAGGCTATTTCACGGTATATGAAGGAAATTCTCAGACTGCTGGCAGCCGATCTTTTCTCTTGGGGTCAGTCGAGTGTTTACCAGGGAACACAAACGGAAATGGGAGGTATGGACGAGAAGGGTTTGAGCCGCGACGAGGAAAAACCTTCCCGCGAGTGACCCCGAGAGTGTCGAACCTCAGTCTCGTCCCAATCCCTTGTAGTCTAGAGCGTCTCGCCTCATACTTCCAGCAGCCTAATATATCCCCCTCAAAATATTACCCTCTAACTTGTAGGAACACTAGTAAAGACATCAGTTATGTGCCAAAGGCAAACAAGGATGCTGTACGCTGGGAAAGATGGCTGCTGATTATGGTAGTGAAAATCAAAAATTTACGACATTTTTTTGGACGAGTAATTTTTGCGTGTACTGCTTTTTATTCTTTGTTATCCAGACCGTGCGTGGAAGCTGAGGTCAATGGTCAGAAATTCTGTAAATCATTCGGGATCAACATTCTACATTGATAGACACACGTGCAAGCAGTTTACTAAGGATCAGAGGGATTTAGCTTTGTTATGTTAGCGGAGATCATTGAACCCAAAATGATAATGTTTCATGCATTTTTTATTTGGAATTTGTGAGAATTTAAGAGGCAGACAGGAATAGAAACGAATGACAAAACTGAATAAGTTGAGATAAGGTTGTTATTTATTTTTTTTACTAGTTAATTTGCGTTATAAATGAATGCCTAAGTTGCTTTGTACGTCCCGCAAAAAATTCCGAATCGACCCTCCTGAACACATAGCAAAGACTGAAGTGATGCCGACCTCGTCATTCAGGAACATTTAATACTTGGCTTAATATTAGAAATATATTGCCGGCCCTAAATGTATTTTTTCTCAGTAGATGAAATGGAGAATAAAATGTTCTTCACGAGCGATCTTTCGAGTGAATCTTTTCTGGGCATTTTGTATGTGTCGCGTGTAACTAATTGCCGGCCACGTGCCCAGCCACGCGCTAAGACTTAAGCCCAAAATCCTTTCTTTTTTTTTTTTTCGGAGATTGGTATGCTGCTGTGCGAAATCAGACTTGTGCCGAGCGAACAATTATGTGAGGTTTGTCACTTCCTTGATTTAAAGTGTTTACTGATTTGCCACGCGTGCGTTTTAGAGCTTTACTATTACATTCAGACTAACCCGTTGATAAATCAACTCTCTCTTTAATCGCCGGAAAGCAGAGAAGAGCAAAACCGAGGTGGAGTAGAAACTGATTTGGATAGGTCTGGTTGCAGATACTAGAAAAATTAAAATTAAATCATTTCTGGCGAGGTTTAATCCAAGTTACCTGAGCAAGAAAATTCTGTCTCCAGTTTAGCATTACTACAAAATTTTGGTTTATATGTAATACTATTTCACTATTTAGTGAATGTCTAGTTTATTTTCAAGGTCGTGATTCATGTAAAAAAAAATCGCAAGTGGAAATAGCCAGCTGCCAAGTCACGTTCATATTAATTCATTCAGATCTATTTTTCACAGTTGCGTTTAAAAAGAAGTGATAACACTAATCACCCTAGACAGCTTCAAAACAATGCAAACTCCAGAGATCAAGATTTCCGTTTTAGACGAATAATCCGTTGTTAACATATGTTTAAACGAATTTCCAGACGAATCAAGCGTTAGAGACAATTTAATATACCTCAGTCTGTCATTTAATGACAGAATTTGTAACTATCCGTCTGAGATGAAAAATTCCATCGGCGGTATAAAATGGGACAAGTTTTTTAAACGTTTCCAAAGAGGACTGTTTATTCGAACGGCTGCGACTGAGAGAGGACTGCAATGCCGCGAGTAGTGAGCAGTGATCATGAACTGGGAATATCTGTTACTGGAATAAGTCCGTTTAGCGAACAAAGAAGGACAGAAATGGAGCGAGAGAATAGTGTAGCGCAGCTAACATTAAATCTTCATGAAGTGGCTGCGAATGAAAAATCAGGTATCGATGAGGTTAATGGCGATAAATTGCCGGTAGTCACAAGATGCGCAAGCCTTACCAGCGAAGAAAATAGCGATCTGGAAGTTCTATTACGAGTGCGGTGTTTCGATTTTCCCCTTCAAGTTCGTGGGTTGATGCCAGACGGGAATAAATCAAACAATACGTCATCTAGAAGCATGGAACGTTTCGACGCAAATAGTCGAGAAACAATTGCAACCCAGGAACGAGTGGTTTGTGATCAGAATGGAGAAACCAACCGCGATGACGAGGCCAACAACTTGGAAGATAAGGACCGAGATGTTTCGCCTCTTTCTTCGTTGACAGTCCTTGAGGGCCAACGCGTGAATTTAAGAGAAAAAGACGAATTAAAAGCTCAGAAAAAACAACTTCGTCGCCAACCCACGGAGACAGGAAACAAACTCTCATATCAGACTGAATCATTAAACAACTCTAGTGAAGCACGCCGAAATAGTCTTCCAAAACTAATATCTTCAAAACCCAAGAAACAGGATACGCGACCGGTATTGCACCTTCCGAAGGTTGATAAATACGAAATCATACCTAAAAACATTATAGACGTTAAAGTATGCTCAGTGTTCCAAGTAAACGATTTTAAATCATCCCTAATCTATTCAGGCTATAAGGACAGTTGGGTTCCGAACCGTGACAGGAATTTTATGAAAAATTCAGCGTTTTTCAAAGCTCTGATGGAAAAACCCGCTGTATTTCTAAAGCAGCCATCTAGCTTAGCTGAAGAGTCGTTAGCGGCAGCGATTCAAACTGTCGAAAAAACAAACGTATCAAACGTAGATTCCCCGTGTGTTGACGCTGAATTGACCCGTCAAGAAAAGAAACTTGTGATAAGGTTACCGCCAATCTGTTGAGTTTGCATTGTACGCCGAAGTGCTTTTTGACAAAATCTTTCTGACAAGGTTACTTAGAGATTGATTGATTTCTTAGTAGTCGCATCAGCATATACATTTTTCAAAATAGATTATCATGTGTCCTTGGAAGATTAGGTTACTGATGGTTATTTTAGCTAATAAAAGACCCTGCTAGAGAGTAGATAACGTTCTACCATCTTTATCATTGTTTGAAACGTAAAATGAAAGAAGAAACGGACAAACAACAAAAAGGACAACATTTTGGAAATGTTTCATTTTCAGACGGAAGAAATAAAAAGATCAGTTAACTGAGGCATATTTGACTTGTCCTCATTTCTGTCAGTTTCCTTCTGTCTGGATAAATTACAACAATGGCCCTAGCTCTAGCTAGCTCTCTACCAGCGCCAGGTTATTGTTGAATTCTGTCCACCTTTTGTCCGAATAATTAATCATTCGTACCGGCGGCTGTTAAAATCTTCGTCCTCCCCGAATATAACTCGATTTCAGTAGTTCTCAGTGTTATCAAAATTTACCCGTTGCTTGTCCAAGGGCAAATTGTTCGAGAAAGTCGAGTCGGCCGAGTCTGAACAATTTTTTAAAAATGCTTTGCCACCAGGTGTTTGACAAAAGTGAATAAATAAAATTGGAAACTGCTTTCATTGTTTGAAGAACTAGTGGTAGAAATGCTCCAGGGAGGGGACGAGCCAGGTGCATCTAAAAAGATAAAACAAAAGTGACGGGGAGGCTCGTGAGAAATGTTGAAAGAAAACCACCCCCCTTCCCCCACCAAAACAGTGTACCAGAATTTCCTTTTGTTGGTGTGATATCTGTGAGAATTCGTTTTCTCACCTTAAAGTACCGGAATAACTCTTATGGTGGTCATCAACTGATGTAAGTACCCTATTAGTACCGAATTGTACACCCTAAAATCACCCCCGTGACTTTTACGTGCGAGAATGTAGATCTCCCCCAGTCGAGGACCTAATACTCGGTCGACACCATTGATATTATCACTTCATCTAATCTCTAAATCAGACCACCCAAAGGACCGGACGAATTAAGGACGACATGGGCAAGTTTGTAGAAACTGTTGCACTGCATCGGCAGTTATGTGAAACAGTTGCTAAAATTTTGCCGTTGTAGATACGTTTAGCCCTCTATCTTTTCTCCCGAATGAGGGCTAACTCCAAACTTCTCCAAGAGGTAATTTATCCAGTTTAAAACTATTAATCAACCAATAAGAATTTGTACGCGAAATCTGAGAGAGGTAGCCTCAGAATGGCCCCGGCTCGATACTTACAATAGTTTCGTTTCCTGAGCTTTCACTCGTATTAGTCAACGTACGACCGGTCCTATGGGATAAAAGGTCCTGTTTCAAGCGCGATGTAAACGGTGCAGCGTCACTCCTTGTACACGTTCCTCCTCAGAGCGAAGAAGCTGGGAGCGAGATTTCGTCCTGGAACAAGTTGGGCCGAGAGTAATTCTGCGAGCGACCACCACGTTTGGGAACTGACGCGCGAGTGACAATTAACCGGCAATAAGCCGCGCGCGAGTCGAACACGCCGACGAGTTTAGCGAGTGCAGCAGTTCCAGTTTAACGAGTGGTATGCTATTCTTCACAGTGTGGCCGTTCGCAGCTCCGGCGGTATTGAGACTCCGAACGTAAGCCTGTTCACAGGCTTGGTCAACATCAGCTGAAGTAATCGAAATAAGGAACTTTCTGGCGCCAAGGGTTTAATGTTACTAAATCTCACTTTATTTTCGGACTACGGTCAACCGTATATAAATTCTTCCTTGACAGACAGGTCAGAGGATATTACAATTCTTTGACCTAGCAAAATTATGTTTCAAGATGTTTTAAAAGTTTTTAATAAGTTTGCCTCAGTTAGAAACACGACCCTATAAGCAGCTTCTGATTGTCCGTATTGTATATAAATAAATGTTGCTGTTGTTGTTATTATTATTCAGCAAATCGGCGGCAACCTTATAACAAATTTCTTTACCTGCCGACCTCCATCAACAGTTGGAGAGGTTACGTTCGTTTCCTCGACAGCTTGAATCGCTGCCGCCAGCGAGTCTTCGGGCTCCTTTAAAGTCATTTTTACTCCAGCAACAGGAGATGGTTGCCTCAGAAACACTGTTGGTTGAGCGATAGCTTTAAACACAGAGTTCTTGATAACGTAACTATCCCGGCTGGGAATCCATGTATTTTTACAACCTGAATAGAATAATGAAGATGATTTTAGATCGTCCACTTTGAAAACCGAACAAACTTTGGTGTTTAGAATGTTTTTAGGTGTGATATCGTATTTATCAGCCTTTGGCAGGTGAAATACCGGTCGTGCATCCTGTTTCCTAGTCTTTAAAGAAACCGTGCTTGAGCTCGTCCTTCGTGTTTTCATTAAGTTATTTTCAGTGTCAAAGGTTTCCGCTGTTGATTCACTTTGATTACATAGCTTGTTTGCTTTCCTTGGCATGCGACAACGAACCTGTTTTCGCTGTTTGTTTAGTTCCATTTTCTCTCTTAAATTCACTCGCTGTCCTTCTAGAATTGAACCAGATATCGGCGAAATACTCTGACTTCGGTCTTTCGAAATGTCCCCCGCGTGTTCCAATTCGCTTCCTCTATTGTTTACCTGATTCTGATCTAGGACAAAAAGGACTCGTCCTTGCGTAAATCCCGGAGTACTTGAAGCTGGTTCGAGACGCTGGGAACAAGAAGATTGTGATTTCTTAGTTGATTTATCAATCCATTCTGCCGTACGTTGTTGTAGCGAAAAATCAGAACATTGCATTCCACGCGAAAGAAATTGCAGATCATCGTTTTCTTCGTTCTTGACTCGTTCAACTGGGAGAACCGGCAATTTTAGCTGACGTGTTTCATCGTTTGCAAGTTTCTGTTCTGGTGTTGATATTTCATTCCCAGACACTTGCTGTTTAGCTTGGTTTAAATGTTCCAGCTGGGTTACACGTTTCTCTTCGAGTTTCTCTGCTCTTCTTGGGCTAAACGAGCTTGTTGCCGTGACAGATATGTCGACTTTATGTAGCATCGCGCGCTATTTGCTTCCAGTTCGTCTCAAATCGCCCTTCTCTTTTATCTCGACGAAATTTTGCGAATACTCAGCGTAAGTCCTTGCTATTTTCAGTTGACGTTCTGCTAAGCTACGGATTAAGCATTCCTTTTCAAAACAATCACTTCGTAAGTCTTTTAAGCCGCAAATGAACTGCGAACATGGCCTTTCGCATCTCAAAGGGTCATTACAGTTTGAAAGAATCTATTGTGTCACCTTTGTGTTCAGAAGGAGTGCTAATTTGTACAGAATATTTTAATAATCTTCTTTGCATTGTTATCGACCTTTGTTGGTATGACTACCTCTCATGTAAACTTCATATTTTCTTTCCAAACAAAAGAGCATCAGCCCTAGCCATCCGTGACGATGGTTAGATTTTTAAAATTTGCCATGTGCGCATCACGGTGAAACATTCGAAAGTAGGTAAGTAAGTCAAGTTTATTGTGTATATACACTTAGCTTTTGTGAGAAAACTCACCGGCTAGTTTGCAGGTATAAAACAGAAAGTAAAAATAAAAAGAACTAAATTGAGAAAATACCTTCAACAAGTAACTAAGAAGATATAAGTTTAAAATTTAAGATATAAGTAGAAAATTGTGCAAAAATTCAATGAAAAAATTTTTCACGTGCCGTCATCACTTTCTAAAAGAGCCACCAAAGCTTTTATCCTCATCAGGCATAAGAGGCAGTATATTTATATGACCTTACATCTGTCTACAATTTTACAGTTCAAAAGCACGCTTGCCTTCGTTTGGAAACCAGAGCATTTTGAATTTCAGGGTTACAGAGGGTTGAAAAATATATACCTATCTCACTATTTTGGGCCTTTTTAGAAGTTAGAGCATTAAGAAGAGAGCTTATGGAAATAGCTGTTTGTTCAGTACTGGTAATAAGTCGTCTAGATAGCCAAAGTAATTAGTTCCAGATGTTTACACTATTTTCCGGCCGCCATATTGCCGTACATGGCGTTTTAGTCGCTTTCATACTGGGCTCTATAAATTTCCGCGAAACATGTCGACGAATATCTGAAGCTTGGGGAAACGCACAGGCCTAAAACTTGAGGAAGTGTCTTATTTAGTTATCATCTATAACATCACAATTTCTTAGCTTTTTCCACTGGATGGTTGTCGATGTATGTTTTTTTATTGCGTTTATCCGCGGGAAACTTGGGACTGAGTTCAACTTTTGGCGCCAAATTATTTTCACGTGACACAAACAAAATGGCGGATGAGATGGAAGTGGAGGTTTCGAACTCGACAGCCCCTGCAAGCTTAAAAACCTCCAAAGACGAAGCAATGGAAGTAGATTTACCACAGAAGGAAAAAGTACCAACTAAAGGATCATCTGGTGCAAGTTCTAGCTCGGTAAAACACTCTAAAGGCTTTGAACTTCCATGGTAAGTAAAATGGACGATTTACGTTCGCTGGTGTGAAGGTCATGCTGGACAGTAAAATCTTTGGCTCTCTGTCATATTGCATGCACCTTGGCCTCCTACACAGTTGATAAGCTAATGTTTATGATGTTATTTCTGATCAGGGTAGAGAAATACAGACCAACAAAACTTCATGAAATAGTTGGAAATGAGGAAACTGTCAGTCGTTTAGAGGTACTTAAGCTTATTGTAATTTGAAGAAAATAGGTTTATGTCGTCTAAGATATCAAAATAAAATTATCTTAACAAAACTAGACAGTGCTGTCAGCAAGAAGTTACCAAACTATGGCTGCAGTAACAATAGAGTAAGAACTGCGCAAAGTTCTGTTAAGGACGGTGCCTACTTTTGTTAGTGCGCACATCTTCTGCGCATCATGCAAGCCATGGTTTAAGTGCCACGTGCGCGCTGGGGTTGACATTGACACAATCAACTACACTATCACGTACACAACTAAAATGAAAGCAAAACTTTCCTACTGTGACCAAATCAAGTTTAATGAACCTGTACTTAAGTCAGGAACACCAGAATAGCAACACATTGCTAACCACTAACTGTTTACGTCTTTCAGTTGAAAACCTAGCTGGTATCTGTTGAAAATTGTACTGAAATCCAACTGTAAACATGTACCTAGAGATGGCGTAGTGCACACGCAAAACTAATGCGAGATACGCAAATGTCTTCCTTACTGGGGAGGTGACAGGAAAAAATGTAACAGGCACCGTAAAAGTTTTCAAAAAAGACGAATAACTTTAAAAAACGTGTGGTTACCCCTACATTTTATGTTATGAAATGGAATTAGCAAGCCTGATGATTAGTTTCTGGTTGTCAGAAAAAGGTATTTAGACTGTATTTTAGCTGATCCAGAGGAAGGCTGTCAAAGACGCTAAAAGCGCTGTTGCAATGATTTTGTTATTAAAAAACATACCAAAATGGTTTTTATCTTACCATTTGCCATGTAGTTTAAAGATCTTTTTAAATGCGTTTGCTTTTCTGAATGTAAAGGTGAATTCTAAGGAAATTTGTAAAGAAATATCCTTTCCTTCTTTTTCAGAAAAATGCTGATGTCAGCATTTTTGTTGAGATTCAAGGCTAATTATCTCGAAAAGATGCGTGGTTACCCCAGTTTTTCTTTGTGGATTCTAATAGCCCTTGCAAAGATCTACTTTTTCCGTATGGTCCTAACCTGGTGCAAAAACCTTTGTATTTAGTAGGTACTGTCCTTAAAAGAGGAGCAGGTCATTTACTTCCAGATTCTTAACCTTTCAAAATAATTTTTTTGTTCAGGTTTTTGCAGAGCAGGGAAATGTTCCAAACATCATAATTGCTGTAAGTAAAACCTTGATATTTAACAATATTACTTTAAGCTTTTCTAAACTGAATTTTGTAGTTGGTTGTAGGTAAAAGTACAATCTCATGTACTTTTTTGCAACCTTAATCAGAACTGGGGAACTATTTCTCTTGTAGAAAAATGAAAAGGGTTTAAATTTGTTTAAAAAACAAGGGACTCTCCCTGCTAACTTGTCTGCATGCACTAATCCTGATCAGGTATTTGCAGTCCATTTACTATGCAGCTTACAAAGATAATTCAAGAGCTTCAACACCAAAAACTAATAAATAAAAGTAGGTTTTTTTTGCCTGAAACATGTAGACTGTTCTTATTTGCTGTTCCATTTTCTCTAACTTCAAGGGATATAATATTAGGATATGGTTGATATTTTTACATGAATAGAATGTATCTAGCAATGTGCATTTTTTCCAGGGTCCTCCTGGTACAGGGAAGACTACAAGTATCTTGTGTCTGGCCAGAGCTCTTCTGGGTTCATCATTCAAAGATGCTGTGCTTGAATTGAATGCATCGAATGACAGGTATGTACATTGGGTGTATAAAGCCTATTCCAGTCACGAGGATCAGAGTTGCTACCCTGTCTCACTAGTGGTTAGCCACAGAAGTATCCAAGAGTGATCCTATTGCCCTTCGTTAGTATGTGAGGTCCGGCTTCCCTAACTGCTCACTGTAAACCATTCGTACTTCTGGGTGGAGAGAGGCACATAAGATTAAAAAATGTCTCACCCAAGAACACAACATGCATGTACTACCATTACTTTTAAGACTCAAGACTGTTCTATCCAGAATACAGTGCAATAAACACTAAGCCATTGTATGATTGGCCTGGCAGGGGTAGCATTATGCTCAGTAGCCAGGAAGTTGCCATGGCATGGCAACCCTGTCGCAGTCTACTTCAAGGCACCGGTCACATCATGATCAAGAGACTACTGCAGTAGGAAAATTATGAACTTGATAGACTTAGCTGGACAGGAAGGAGTACATTATTGAATATACAAATTAAGTTGAAAGCCACATGAGGAAGTATACTTTGTAACTTTTTAACCCATTTCTCACTCCCTCTAAATACGAACCTCACACAACATTGCATTTCTTGGAACAGTACACAAAGTAATTCTTTATTATTGTTGCAGAGGAATTGATGTGGTGCGTAACAAGATAAAGATGTTTGCTCAGCAGAAAGTAACTTTACCAAAAGGCAGACACAAAATTATAATTTTGGATGAAGCTGACAGGTATGTTCAAGAAGGTGGCACCTTAATAATAATAATAATAATAATATTATTATTATTATTATTATTATTATTGTTAATAACTTATAAGAGCTGAACACAGTACTTTTCAGTTGACAACATATACTTGTACATGTACAGACAATGACATGCACAGCACTACTGGGTTTAATAAGTGCAATCGGATTCGGAAAATTAGGCATTACTGGCAGTGAATTACACAGTTTTAACCTTAACTTTCTGTGATTTAAAAGGCAGCATACATGTAATTGCCAACTGCATTTTCCTCTTTTACAGCATGACAGATGGGGCACAGCAGGCTCTTAGAAGAACAATGGAAATCTACTCCAAAACTACGCGGTTTGCTCTGGCATGCAATACTTCTGACAAAATTATTGGTAAGTAACCTACACTTCACTTAATTTACTGTTACGGAATTGTGTGTAGTATGGCAGTTTTAATTTAAAAGTTTTATTACTTCAGAGGCTATACAGTCAAGATGTGCTGTTTTGCGATACTCAAGATTAACCGATGCTCAAGTCTTACACAGATTGTTAGAAGTTTGTGAAAAAGAACAGGTCAGATTTTGTATTGTTATATAGGGGGATTGTGGGGAGTGGGAGTCCATGTGCTAAACAGTGATTGTGCTTTTCAAAATGATGCAAGCTATTGAAATGCCCTCTGAAGTTTCTTTTACTGCTTCCTCTCAAAAAACAGAAGGTCACATCAGTACATGTACGTTCATACATTCATGTCTGCGTGTTTTGATTGTTAGATTGCAGGGTTCTTTAATTTTTGTCATACCTATGATTGAGGACAGAAAAACTTGTATTTGTTAGCAGTATTTTGAACCTCAGTCTGATTTTGGCCAGAAGCACAGTAATCATGATTGGTCTTAATAAAATTCTTGCAACATAATAAGAGAAATACATGTAGAAACAGATTGTTCTGCAGGTGCTTTGTACATTCATACCTATGTTCGCTTTCAGGTTGCCAAAACTGATGATGGATTGGAGGCTATTGTCTTCACTGCTCAAGGTGATATGAGACAGGTGAGAAGTCAATGAAAAATACATCCATCTCTATTTACATCCACATTTATGGTTAGGCAATTGTTAGACCGTATAAAGTCATGCTCTCTGTCTGCTTTTTTGTTAGGTACCTCTCCCCACTTGCTTTTGTAGGCTTCATAGACTACTTGTAGCTGGATCTGACAAGTGTTTTTCCCATGAACACAAGCGCAAAAAGGGTAGTGTGGACAAGAAGGGGTTGGGTTGAGGCTCTCAAGAGTGCTGCACCCTTGTCTCATTTCAGCACCTTCTCATCTAAAGCATCTTACCCCATTTTTCCTGTATGATTTCCATGCTGCAAGGTGGTCTACATGTTTCATAGTATCCTTGACTATTTCCATTTATAGTACCTTGCTCAGAATTGCAAGTCTTGAAGTGCCTTATGTGGGAATCTAAAATATAGACCAAGTTCTGGAAACTCAACCGACACAGTTTTCTATTGATTATGTGACAGCAGATTTCTTCTTGTAAAAGAAACCACAACGTCTTATTCCTAGGCCTGGTTTTATTTTTTTTTTGTTTTGTATTATTTCTTTCAGGGCATTAATAACCTTCAGTCGACATTTTATGGATTTGGTTTTGTGAACAGTGAAAATGTATTTAAGGTATTGTTTTAATATATGAATGCTTTTTTGTTAGTCTCAAATTTACTTTTATCAGTACTTGGTATATTTGCTTGCCATGTGACAGTCTTCTGAGTGACAAACTGATATAATTGTGATTTCAGTTACTGAATGTATTTGAGGTCTCTACTTTGCTGGTTTAAGCAAAGTGCTTAAAGCTTGGCACTGGCTGTTTATTTCGTTTTATTTCGAGTTCTGAATCCAGATTATGACGTTGTGTTTGATCAGCCAGGTATTAGAAGTGATTTTAGTAATAACACTTATAATGAAACAGCTCAGTTTGGTTTTGTTTGATTGCTTTTGTGATTACCTCCCTGTGCTTTAGGTTTGTGATGAGCCTCATCCTCTACTGATTCGAGAGATGATCAAATCCTGCTCAACAGGGGACGTAGACGAAGCTTACAAGGTTCTTTCGCATTTGTGGTACATGGGTTATGCCCCAGAGGACATCATCACCAACATCTTTCGCGTGTGTAAGAACTATCAGATTTCAGAGTATCTTAAACTGGAATTCATCAAGGTAAGATACTGCAGGGCAGTTACCGAGGTCTACAAGAGTAGGAAGAAGACTGCAAAACAGTCGTATATTTTGGTGAATTTCCACGTTGTTCGAACGAAAGCTCTGGAGCGAGTGTCTACCCCCACTGTCTTCTAAGTTATGGCCACTTACAAAATTACCTTTAAATTGAAAGAAACCTGCAAATAGTGGTTTTCAAAGATCGAAAAACACTAATGAGATGCCAGTAAGCCATAAAGGAACAAGGATGGTTAAGGATGGAGAAGATTGACGCGGATTACAAACGACGAACTTGAAAAATTTAGGCTAAGCTTTTCAAGATGCGCAAACCACGACGAAGCTCCTCGAAAACACTTTCTTAGCGTCTTTCTGACACAGTATCATTTTAAAGAAATAAAATAAACTTAAAACGGGGAGTAGACTGGATAGAGACGTTAAAAAATACGGCTGTCCGCTTTGTATAAAATATATTGAATTTATTCAAATTTTCCCATACCATTAAAGGGAAAATCCTATTAATCATGGCTGAATCGGGATGCAGCCTGTCAAAAAGAAAAATGTTTATCACACCTCATCAATAGATATTGGACGCCAAGTCAATTTAAACTGAATTTAGAATGAATGGAACAGTTTACCAGATCATTTCAAGGAGGCTCCCAACTCTCCTAATTTTTAAGAACAAAGTTTGATCTTTTCCTTATAATGTTTTCATATCTTGATTCTGTATTAGATGTTGGCTTTTCCATATCTAGTCTACTTCGTTTAGTGCAAGGTCCAACAAGGTAGTGCAAGTAAAAAAATGTTTTTCTTTCGTCTCCAGGAAATCGGCTATACACACATGAGGATAGTAGAAGGTGTAAACAGCTTGTTACAGCTGTCCGGTTTGTTAGCCCGGATGTGCAGTAAGGTGACGTCACAGGACAGCTGAGTAGCCAGGCTTGTGGCGATTAACCGATGAACTCAAGTAGGAGACTATGATTTGACTCAAGTGAACTCCAGAAACAATGATCGTGAAACGAGAACAGTAATGAACGAGCAAGATGTGCTGGATTTTTTACCAAGTGCGACTGTAAGGTTCATGACAAGTGTACCAATGGTTCTTATCACTAGTGAGCAATCTTCATGTAAAGTCGAAGGTGTAACGTAAAGTGCAATCAGGAGTTTTGTAACAGTGAATTGAACTTTGAGGTTTATTCTTCCCACGTTCTCCCCAATATATAGTAAATTGCGAACTAGTATGCTAATACGAAAGTAAATGCTTCCGTTTTCGCTTGTTGAGTGCTCCAAAAAAAAAAGTATTTGAAACACGTCTGTCAGCAAGTCACAAGTGGCTATTTCATTTTAGACGACCCTCATTTTTCTTCGACATCTAACTTGGGTGAAACCGACTCAATTCAAAAGGTGTTGAGTTAAATCAAGTAAAACTGGTTTTGACGAGAACATCATGACTCGCGATTGTGGGCGAAAGAGTCTGGTAAAAAGAAGGTGCATTGCATGTGGTTCGCGATGTGAGCTCCACAGCTAAACAAATACTCGGTTTAAACTTCCTGTACTGAGTAAAATCCTGGCAGAAAGTGTTACGTCATCGACTAGTAAAAGCATAGGACGCGACCTCGATCCCAGGCTCTCTCTCCTTTGCCTCCCTGGGATCGATGTTGCTTCGAACGTTTCTCTGCGAACCAGGAAAGAATTCAATGCTTTCACACTTCATCACTCAGACCTCCATCTTCACCTCTGGTATTTAATGTAAAACTACCATCGGGAGTGAATTGACATGTTCAGCGAGTGGCTTTCGCGCATTTTATATATATACTCTTAACGTTCAACTATTTAAACGTCTTTTTGACACGATAACAGGACAATCAATTGCCAGAACGTTCACTTCAACATCGAAGTTTGTATCAAGACCTAAGGTGGCGAAGTTAGATAGTTCGTGCAAATGCGTGACAACCAAGTTTTCTGTGTTTTTCCTTATCTGTCATATCTTCAAACAGATACTCGCAGTCGTGGCATGTTTACACGCATATCTTAGAATCGGGGAGCGGGGTGGATATTACGAGTGCAAAACACCGTATATCAGACCAAAATAGTCATAAAAAGGGCCTGAAACCTATTTAGCTTTTATAAAGGAGGATCCCCGGGCGTAGCTTTGCGATTCGTAGTTTTGCAATCTGTGGGAATGTAGTTAGATTTTGAAAGATGGTCAGTGTAAGGGAGAAGTGTATTGAAACTTGGAAAAACTTGTAGTTGTGACATACCTTTTTCAATTATGGTTGCTGAGACAACGTCTGATGTATTTTCGTAAGCTTTTGGAAAGCCAGCAATTCAGTAAGCGTAGTAAAATTCCTGAGAACAGTTGAAACAATAAAGTTGTCTGCGTGCCAAGGTTAACTGCATTGTTTTGTATTTATCGAACCTGCTTGACAACAATATTGAAAGGTTAAGAGAAAGGAAGCTTGATTTGAATGCGTATGATGGAAAAATGACAAATATACAAGGTAGATTTAAAGGTGTGGCTTCCATTATTTCTTTACCACGTTTCGTGAAAAAAAAATATGCTAATATGATTTGTCTCTTAAAGTATGCTGATTAAAATCTTGAATTTTAAAAGGTTGAAATTTTGATTCATCATCCTTTTAATCATTGTTAATGCGGTGGAAATGTGCAGCTGCTGCTTATGCCACAATAAATTTGAAGTTGTTCCTGTTGATTTTACATTTGTGGCAATCGATTTTACAGCGTATAAAACTCGACTCAAGAACATTAGAAACGAGCGCTTTGATTTGATCTGTTAGCCTCAGGCATGGCCTTGCACAAATTTTCATGTGGCCTTAAGTACCCTTTTAAATATATTTACTCGTGAAAGAATAAAACAAATCGGATATGTGAATTTGTGAATAAATTACAATAAATGACACATGAAAAGATGGCTTGAAATCTTTTGTTTCAATAAATACATTTCGTCTTATAATCTGATTCATTATTCGGAACTTTAAATCGTGCTTTTAATAACCTTTTTAAATATCGTTTTGCAATAGTTTGGTCTAAAAACTCAATATAGTTTGCATGAAACTTTAAAACAACACCAAATAGAGCTTGATGGTGTATAATTGAGGCGGCTCTTGAATATTTTATTTCCTGTATATTTTATTTTACAAGGCTGTGATCCAATCTTTCACTTGACAGTCACTGTTGATTTTACACTTTAATTTGAGAGAGTTTGCGTCGAAGGTTTTCCTTTGTTGTGAGACAAAAGACCCGTTTGGATTATATTCATTGCCTTTAACGCCTCGGTGTTCTAAAGCTATTAACGACTGATTTAAACAGATCCAGTAACTGCTTTTATAATAGAAGCATTGATAATATTGTGGCCCGATCGAGAAAGGTTGGGCAAAACATGCTGGCAAGAGGAAATATTGTGTTCGACTTCCTTTCGTTGTTTTATATGCGTAGTTTAACAAAATGAAAAAAAAAAATTGTTCAACCACAATTGACACTCGGTATATTGATACTTGACTGTGGATCCAAAATTTGACAGCTTAAAATAGGATTCGAGGTGTTACTTTACTCTTAGAAGACGTTGCACCTTTGAATTTTAACTTTCATGTACGAGAACAACCTCATTCGGTCATAGACTGCACTGTTAACTTCACGCGCACATGATTCGCTGGTTTTTCTTTACCTTATCTCTAGTGACACCCGATGCCTTTATATGTTCGGGCAGGAAGCCTGTGATAGCTTGGGCAGTTCAAATGCAAACGAGTCAAAAACACATAATCGAAATTACCAATGCTAATTTTCGATCGATCCGGCTTAAGCAAAGTTCCATCGCGAAGCGGGGTCTTGAATTGTTAGCGTCACGACTCTACTTTACAGTTGACAGCGTGTTTAACGTCAGAATAGGCAAAGTCCGCCCTCCGACGACCATAAATGGACATATATTGTGCGGGGCAAAAGTCTTACATTGTTTTGACAATCGCAGGATTGGGGAGTGCTTGTTAATCTCATGCGTTTAGGAGGAGGAACACTGTTTAGCTTGGTCTACGCTGCAACCGAACAGCTTGCAGATTGCTACCTAAGGGGTGGGCGATTTTAATCTGCTTACACTCATATAGGTCTTTGTCATAAATTTTACTGAGGAAGTCGCCACATCGCCGCAGATGTGAGTACAGTATACAAAAGAGAGCACCGGCCGTGGGGAAAAAGCCAAGAGAGAGATCACTAGGTTGCCAAACGAGAAGGAAACCGGCTTTGGTCAGAAGAGCACAATTTTGGAGTGCGTTCATCTCAAGAGCGCTTCAACCAGAACTGATGAATCCTATAACGTCGACTGTCGCAGCTTCGTGCAATCGACTGGTCCTTAGTCCACGAACATCTCCACGTAGCAGTCCAAGGCCCTCTCCTAACGTTATAAGGAAAACCCCTTTCCTCGATTTGCCCGCTGACGAGAAAAAGCGTCGAGACTCTAAAGAAATCGTAGACTACAAGAAACAACTGGCTGCAACGACGAGACAAGCCTACAAGGAAAGACAGACGGAAAACAAGAGGTCGAATAATGTTGGGAAAGGGTCCAACACTGCAGCGACGAACGAAAAGCCAGCCAAACGGCTTTTAGAGGAAGCTGTGGCGGTAGCCGCGACAGCTGAAAAACGGAAACACGGCAAGAAAACCGCAAATTCAAAACCATCCAAATCGTCAAGTAGTAGCGCATCAACGAAGGACAAAAAGTGCACAATAATGTGATTATCTTGGTATCTAATCGTTCTTTCCAGAACCTCTCATGAATATTCAGCTTGAGTTTTATCTTCCGCCGAGTTGAAAAACCGCAGAAATCCTCTCTCGTTCATTGCTCGGAGCTAAAATAAGAAGAAGGATGGCAATCACAAAATTCAAGCAGCGCCTGTTATCAAAACGGGGAATTTTAAGCTTGGTCTGCAGTAGTAGAAGCTCAACAGGAGGAAGTGCAATGATGAATTTTAAATTCATAGGAAAGTGTGTAATCGCACCTTGCGAAACCAAATCTAACACAACACGGAGTCTTTTTGATTTTTAGCCTTACTTAAATGTGCTGCGAATTGAAAGCACTTGCGTCAACCAAAGATAACACGGAACTAAATTAAGAACTTTTTCTCTGCCAAATACACCTGCTTGGTGGTTTTCAATCCACCTTGTGTT